CCTCGTTGGTTCTCCGTGACGTCGGCGTACAGAGATTATTCCTCCAAGACAATTAATTCCCAGCTCCATTAGTATCCACTGCCACCCGTACGAGTGACGCACATACCGTCCAATAAAAAGCGAATATATCGGCGCAGGGGGGCAAAACGGACCGGTTTCAATCGAAAATACCTCGTGATCGGTGGAGCGAAATCGAAAGATTTTTTTTTAGAAGCTGCAGACATTCAGATATTTATGGTTTTCCCCTCAATTCCCTAATATTGCTCGATATTAGCAATGAATGTGAGGTAGGGATGGGCGATNTTTGTGTTTGACATTTCTGTATTTCAATTTTCGTAACTGAATACTCACTGTTTTTGATTATTTTATTTGTTGTTTGTGCTTGATTTTCTCATCCAATGAAAAGAATGAGATTCTGAATTCCTTTCAGAACAAACATTATTCATTTACTTCAGTAAATGAGTCATTTGTGGAGGAAATTCAAATCGACGGACAAGATCGCAATTTGTGATTGACATTTCTTTATTTCAATTTTTGTGTCTGAACACTCACGTTGTCACTGTTAATTTTTTTATTTGTTGTTTATTCTTGATTCTCTCATCCAAAAAGAAAAATTGAGATTCTTTTTTCTTTTCAGAACAAACATTATTCATTTACATCAGTAAATGATTTAGGATTTATTAATCAGTAAGTGATTTTTAGAGTAAATTCAGAAATCGACATTAAGAAACTGTCAAAATTCATCGATGAACAACACGGAGAGAAATATTCAATAAAAATAACGTATCTTTTCCGTAATTCCGGAGCGAAATGTGATTGTAGGAAATTTTACGGAAAACTGTCACGGAATTTTTCCAGAGTATTCCGTAATTTTTATCTAAATCTCCTGTGAAAAGTTACGATACAGTCACTTAAATTTTCGAAGTCGATTCCGTAATCGGTGAGCGAATTGTGAGTTCCGTAATTTTTACCGAAAATTTCTCTCCGTGAAGATCACAATTCAGTAGCGAAGTGGCGATGAAAATCTTGAGATCTAAGAGAGACAGCAAAATTTTTCCATCTCTTTTAGATTCCGAGATATTCGTCAAACACTGGCACCAGTCAAAATTGACTTAACCCGGTTTACCGTTTCGCTACTGAATTCGCGATTGACATGTCTTTATTTCACTTTTAGCGTCTGAAGACTGGCATTACCACAGTATCTGATTTTTTAATTTATAATTCCATCTATGATTTCCACATCCACTCAGGAAAAATTACATTCTAAACTCTTTTTAGAACAAAGAAAAGATTCTTCATTTACCCCAGTAAATGAGTGATGTTTGTCATCACCTGTCAGCAGTCAAAACTCTCTGAAAATGCATTCTAGAGTCCAATCTCCACCCCAAATCATAGCAATTCCTGCCCCCACCCCCGCCCAACTCGCCAGAGGACCGATGAATTCGGGAATCCCCCCTCAAGTTCAAAATTAACCGACTGAAGTAAACTCCGTCCTTGATACCATCCGACGAAGCCGGGTCATTATTCGGGCTAGCTGCGTCCTTCGCTCTCCTCTCGAATACGTTAAATACCCTCACACCAACGCATCACAAGAGCTTAGAGCCTATCGTCCTTCGTGCAACCTTTGCCACACCAACTAACGCGTTTAAAAACCCACTACGAACGAATATAGCGCGGAGCTCCATTCGCGCACCAACTTGCGTCAAAGAGATTTTCTCAATCTTTATTTCAAACCCCACACGCACCCAAATAATCTCTTTGTGTCTGTAATACATTAAACATACGTATGAAATCGTGCAGCTCTCGAGGACAGACTTGTCAAATTTATTCCATTGAAATACCGTGATCGTGCGATTAATAAAAACCTTGGACACCAACCAACTCCCATGAATTATTTTATTTCCGCATATTGATTCGCTGATATCCATCCTCCACTCGATAAAATACACTAAACTCCGATGAAAAAACAACACCAAAGGCTACTGACATCGTCTATTTTTACGCTCTCTCTCTCCCCCAGCGAAAAAGAAAACATTATGACAAGTGCGAGACGAAAAAGCCGAAGAGATTGCCAAAATATCTCCGTATTTGACGGATAATACAGGTTTTCTGGTCATTGTTCGGCGCAGCAGATGTTTGACGTTTGAACCTTGGCGACAGGTCAAGCCCACCAGAACGCTCGTTACTCTCGAGTTACGGGGGAAGGGGAGGGAGACGACTGGTGGGACAGGTGTATTAGCGCGACACCCTTGCTCCAGAATGCCGTCCCAAACCCCTGAAACCCAAAATCCTATTCCCCTCGTTGGTTCTCCGTGACGTCGGCGTACAGAGATTATTCCTCCAAGACAATTAATTCCCAGCTCCATTAGTATCCACTGCCACCCGTACGAGTGACGCACATACCGTCCAATAAAAAGCGAATATATCGGCGCAGGGGGGCAAAACGGACCGGTTTCAATCGAAAATACCTCGTGATCGGTGGAGCGAAATCGAAAGATTTTTTTTTAGAAGCTGCAGACATTCAGATATTTATGGTTTTCCCCTCAATTCCCTAATATTGCTCGATATTAGCAATGAATGTGAGGTAGGGATGGGCGATATTTTTAAGGGGAGACTACTATGAGTTTTAAAAGTCGTGGGTTATTGGAGGGAGACTTTTCATACGTTGAAGATCGATTATATAGATCTGAAAACGAATAATTAGTGCAGAAAAATTTTTTTTTTATTGTTCGTTTGCCCGAAAACGCTTAAAATGCGAAAAACAGTCCAGGGCCTCCAATTTTTGAGCTACAAACGATTTTTTTTTTCAAAATTTTTGGAAAAATGTGTGGAACAAGAATTGCAGGCGTTTTTTTTTAATTCGACTCCTACACAGCTGATTTCGGTTTTTTTCATATAAAAAATTCACTATTTGTGTAAAAAAATACAAAAAAAAGCAAATCTAGCCATGTAAGAGGCTAATAAAAAAAAACTAGCTCGTAATTGTTATTCCACATATTTTTCCGAAAATTTTGAAGAAAAAAAAACCCTTCGCAGCTCAAAAATTGGAGGCCCTGGACTGTTTTTGACATTTTAAGTGTTTTCGGGGGAACGAACAATAGAAAAAAATTTTTTTTTGTTTTTGAAAATTATTCGTTTTCAGATTTATATAATCGATCTTCAACGTATGAAAAGTCTCACTCCAATATGAGCTCACGACTATGAATTTTAAAAGTCGTGGGATATTGGAGTGAGATTTCTCATGCATTGAAGATCGATTATATAAATCTGAGAACGAATAATTTTCAAAAACAAAAAAAAATTTTTTTTTGTTTTTGAAAATTATTCGTTCTCAGATTTATATAATCGATCTTCAACGTATGAAAAGTCTCACTCCAATATGAGCTCACGACTATGAATTTTAAAAGTCGTGGGATATTGGAGTGAGATTTCTCATGCATTGAAGATCGATTATATATCAGTAGTGAAGGGGTGAACGGGTTAAGTCGACATTTACTTTTGACAAGTTTTAATTAATATCTCGGAATCTAAGAGAGATAGAAAAATTTTTCCCATGACCTTTTTTATAACCCTCAATTGGCTCTATAAAAAAGGTTATGACAAAAAATTTTCCATCTCTCTTAGATTCCGAGATATTCGTCAAAAACTGGCTAATAGGCAAAATCGAATTAACTCGATTTATCGCTTCGATACTGATATGTCTGAAAAAAAATAATTAGTGCAAAAAAATTAATTGTTTATTGTTCGTTTGCTCCGTAGACGCTGAAAATGTTAAAAATAATCCACGACCTGTAATTTTTTAGCTAGAGGTTTTTTTCAAAATTTTTGAAAAAATGTGTACAATAACAATTACGAATTATTTTTTTAAAATTCGACTCCTACAAAGCTAATTTCGTTTTGTTTAATATAAAAAATTGCGCAAAATCATCCTTAAAATATTGCAAATATATTTTCGATTCTTTTAGAAATTTTTTTCGGGCTATTTTACATGAATGGTGTAATTTTTTATTTAAATAATAATGAAATTTGTTGTATAGGAGCCGAATGTCAAAAAACTAACTCGGAATTGCTATTGTACACTTTTTTACAAAAATTTTGAAAGCAAAATCTCTAACCTCAAAAATTGGAGACTCTGGACTGTTTGTAACACTTCAAGTGTCTGTAGGGCAAACGAGCAATAAACAATTAATTTTTTTGCGCTAATTATTCGTTTTTAGACATACATAACGATAAAGTTGACTCCGATAGCCCGGTAATTTAAAAACTCACAGTCTCTCCATAATTGAAAAAAATGTATTGAATATTTTCCTTAAAAAAATGAAAAATTTCGTTAGTTTGGTGAAAAACATCGATGTCTGGAAAAAAGGATCGAAAATTGATTAATCAAATTTGAAAACATCGCCGTTTGAACACTCTCATGTTAACAAAAATTGCAGTTTTCGATAAATTGACAAACATCGCCCCTCTCCAATGCTCGTTGACTGATCACTCTTGCGAGTGTAAAAACCAGCATTAATCCCACGAAGCCCCTAATTGTTGCAGAAACTACTTGAGACATGTGACAGCGCACAATGCGCATTGCGCATGTTGATCAAGTGGGATTTGAATACTCACTGGCGCCATCTCGCTTGTTCCGTTCCGCATCCTCTCTCCTCCATAAATTAATTTACCTCTCACCCCCTTCCACCTGACAATCCCACCGCACATTTCCCTGCGCTATCACTCTGCGCAGATCCACCCGCTTCCCCATCTCCCTGAAATCGAACATTTCGAGAGGAAAAAGCCAAGAAGTCGTGCATGCCCCTGTTGAAGCCCGAAACCCCAAAATCACTCATTTTTTCTGTCATTTAAATGACCCGAGGGGTTCATGACCCCGAAAAACCTAACGGGTCTTTCTAAACCCGTCGATTGTAAACCAACCCTGGACGGTGTCGCTGCACTTGGGTATCCGCCCATTCCCCCCCCTCCAGTGATGGTGCTAGCGCACGGGTAGTTTTCGTATCGCCATCATGAAAACATTCGTCCGTCGTCGTCGTTATCGTTACTCTCCTCCGTCCTTGCCTTTTCGCCTCAAATAATCCACGGGTCCCCGTACCCCATCATCAAACTCAAAATATCGAACGTCGTGACGACGACGGCGGCGAGTCCCCAAGTCACTAATCGCCGCAGCCCCAGTTCGACCATTTTTTGACGTTAAAATTGTGACCAAACCCAACAGGGAATTCGTTTTTTTTTTCGGAGTAACAAAATAGACTCGAGTTGGTTAGAGCGTTTTCAATTGAAATTGTGTATGTGTGACTTTGACGGAGTGAAGTGAGTCGCTCTCACGGGTGATATTAATGTGTATGTGTGTACCGTGGAGACGAGAGGATACGAGTAGCGGGGAAATCCTCAGCGCTGGTCAGAAAATACGGACGTGAATAAAACGATAATAAATAAATAGTGAAAGATACAGCGGAATTGTGACGGCGCTGAAGGGACTAGAGAGAAGGATAGAACGGAATCTGTGCAATATTTTTTCTCGCTCCTGGCCCATTAACAACTCTCTGGTGTGTGTGTGTGTGTGAGTGAGTGTTTCAATGTGTACTGGCGTGTTCCCTCTGCGATACGGACACGGGAGCCCACTTAAATGCCTGAGAGACACTCTTACTCCATGTTGTGCATCGGTTGCAACACGATTGCGTGCTGGAAAGTGAGTGATATTGCTCAGTGAGGCAGCTTTTTTCTTTCATCTGGACGTTTAATATGCCTGCGTGTGTCTGCCAATGCTGTCCCTTTCCCCCTCTCTTTTATTTTTTTCCTTTCCCGCCCCCCAGTGGCCACCCCTTATCACCCTTTATCAGCGCCTCTCCGCCCCCCCCCCCTCCACCCAGCACCGTCCCCACTACTTTGGAAAGCCACCCCTTTCCGTCACGGGCATTGTCTCTTGCCAAGGGAGGTCAGAAATTTATGTAGATAAGCCCCCGCGGGCTCTCCCTCCTTCTGCGATGCCAGGAGTCCTGGTGAAGGGAAGTATGTTTTATGAGTTTCATGGCTTTGAAGGAGTTTTGGGGGCTCTTTGAGGCTGGAATGCATCTCGACTGTCAACACATTGACTGGCTTCGTCGACGTCTGGTTATTCTCTGATTTTTGGAGCTCTTGGAAGTGTTCAGGTGGTAGATTTTTAACACGGGTTTGGATAATTACGTCCAGAGGAGGTCATTGTTGTTGTTGAATGTTAACCTTGAGACGGTTTTGGAGAAAATCTTCCACACCCTTTCTTAAATAGGAATATATTTCATGATGTTCATGCCTTTCAGGAAGTTTTAGGATTTCTTTTGGGGCTGGGGTACATCGCGCCTGTCAACACATTGACTGGCCTCGTCAAGGTCTGGTTATTCTGATTTCTGGAGCTTTTGGAAGTCTTCAGATGGTAGATTTTTCACACGGGTTTAGATAATTACGTCCAGAGGAGGTAATTGTTGTCAGTGAGAATTCGAGGGGTAGATCCTGATGAATGTTAACCTTGAGACGGTTTTGGAGCAAATCTTCCACACCCTTTCTTAAATAGGAATATATTTCATGATGTTCATGCCTTTCAGGAAGTTTTAGGATTTCTTTTGGGGCTGGGGTACATCACGCCTGTCAACACATTGACTGGCCTCGTCAAGGTCTGGTTATTCTGATTTCTGGAGCTTTTGGAAGTCTTCAGATGGTAGATTTTTCACACAGATTTAGATAATTACGTCCAGAGGAGGTAATTGTTGTCAGTGAGAATTCGAGGGGTAGATCCTGATGAATGTCAACCTTGAGACGGTTTTGGAGCAAATCCTATCCACCCTTTCTTAAATAGGAATACATTTTATGATGATCATGCCTTTCAGGAAGTTTTAGGAATCTTTGGGCTGGGGTGAATCTCCCCTGTCAACACATTGACTGTTTTCATTAACATCTGGTCATTTTTTGAAGATTTCCGAAACAGTTCATTTTTAATACTTTTCTGAAGTCTTCAACTTTCAGATTTTTAACACGAGTTTAGATAACTCCTTCGAGGAGAGAAAATTGTTACCTGGATCGATGAATTCAGGGTAACACATGGAGGAAAGGTTCTACCTTTTGGGATAACTAAAGAAAAGAGTAATCCGGACTTCCTAGAGAGTGGTTGATTGAAGTCAATGACAATTCAAAGGGATAGATCCTAATAAATGTAAAACCTGGGACGGTTTCGGAGCAAATCCTCCACATCCTTTCTTCAATAGCAATATATTTTATGATATTCATGTCTTTCAGGAAGGTTTAGGGTCCTTTGGGGCTGGGGTGCATCTCGCCTGTCAACATATTGACTATTTTCATCCGCATCTGGTCATTTTTAATAGATTTCTGCAGCAGTTGGCAGTCTTCAACTGGTAGATTTTTCATGTGGGTTTAGATAACTCCGTCGAGAGGAGATGATTGTTACCTGGCTCTGTGGATCCAGGGTATCACGTGGTGGAAAGGTTCTACCTATCGGGTCACGAAACCCGAGGGCAATCCAGAGTTCCTGGGGAGTGATTTATTGGGGTCAGTGACAATCTAGAGGAATAGATCCTCATAAATGTAATACTCTAAGCGGTTTTCGAGTTAATCCTCCACGCCCTTTCCTTGAATACATTTTATAAGCAACACATTTCATGAGCCTTTTGCCTTTGAGAAAGTTTGAGGGGTTTTGAGGGTCTTTCGTAGCTGGAGTGTCTCGGTCAACACACCGACTCTCCTCATCACTATCTACCTATTCCCCACTGATTCCGACAGCAGTTGGCATTTCGTTATCAGTTTCTGTGGACCTATGTCCGAAACGTTTTGTCTAGTATTGAACTCAGAAAACCAAACGAAATTCCCGAATTTCTTAAGAATGTTTATTGGAGTCTGTAAAAATCTAAAAGGATAGATCCTTGTAGACGTAATACTCAGGACGGTTTTCCAGTCAATTCTGCAGACCCCTTCTTTAAATATGTTTTATGGAAAATATATTTCAATAGCGAGGGGGTAAAACAGTTTAAATCGATTTTGACTACTGGCCAGTATTCAATAAATATATGGGAATCTAAGGCAAACAGCAAAATCTTTGTTATAACCTTTTTTGTAGCTCTTAATCCGCTGCAAAAATGAAAAACTAGGCTGAATTTACTACCAAACTTTCACCATCTCCCTTAGATTCGGAGATATTCTTTGAAAAATCAACTAAGAGCTAAGTCGACTTGAACTATTTTACCCGTTCACTACTGATTTCATGAGACTCATGCCTTTGAAGAAGGCATTTTTCGGCCTTTCGAGGCTCGGGTGCTCCTTGCCTGTCTTCATCACCACCTGTTCATTCTCCGCAGATTTCTAGAACAGTTGAGAGAATTCAATAGATAGATTTGTAGTAACACTGCAGTGTATATACCCCATGGGTTATATAATTTCATCGAGAGAAGATAATTGCTATCAGGTTCTGTAGACATATGAAAGAAAGGAATCGTTGTTATAACCCTTTCTGTGGGGCGAATGAAAAGCCACAAAAAGGTTATTATGAAATTTTCACTATCTCCTCTAGATTCGGAGATATTTTTCGAAAACTCAGCTAAGAGCTAAGTTTACTTATTAAACCGTTTTACCATTTTGCGGTCTTTCGAGGCTAGGGTATTCCTTGCCTGTCTTCATCAGATTTCTAGAACAGTTAAGAGAATTCAATAGGTACATTTGCAGTAACACTGCAGTGTATATACCCCATGGGTTATATAATTTCATGAGAGAAGATAATTGTTATCAGGTTCGGTAGACCTGTGAAGGAAAGGTTCTGTTATTGGGGTCACAAAACTAGGGGACAATCAACAGTTTCTTGAGAATGGTTCATTGGTATCAGTGACAACCGAAAAAGGTAAACCCTCATAAACGTAAAGTCGATACCTGTTATGGAGTTAATCCCTCACACCCTTTCCTTACCTGACGCTTGAGCGGACCCCCTGGGGGTGTACTCAGGGATCACTCGCCTCTCCCCTCATTTTCGGATTTAACGAATGTAGAAAATTTCTTGAACATTCAACAATTGGAGGACATCCAAATCGGCCCTGTCAGCTCTCAATTCATGTTATGAAGTTTATTCCACGTTTTCTTGGGTCAGTTGTAGCTCTACTCTCGGGGAAACAACAACAGGAATTGTCCTCCGGAGAATCCGTAGTTTTGTACAGAGTAAAATGTACGGTGTTTATTGGATTTAGGTGATTACGTGGTGATTTATAGTTTAAGTTGGTGACGAGATCTAGCCTTCAGCTAGCACAGTTTTTGATTAGTCGGAAATTCATTAAGCGCAGGTGAAAATATTTGACAGGTTCGTAATTTCTAATGAATTCATTAAGTGTTCTTGGTCAAAGTTTCATTGAATTTTTATCAGATAAAACTTGTGGCCTAGTTTACAATTTCTTCCGTAGAAATAAGTGCGAGTGGGGCAAAATGGAGTAGCTTTAATTGTCCAGGAGTGTAGACGCGCTGAGTGAAATTTAAGGAATTTGACTGTATTCCCAAGCTCTTTTTCTCAAGTTCAAAATCAAAAGATTGAACAAGGTCCATTCGTGTTGCAAGGAGTTGATCCCCCTTCCTCCTTCACTCTAAAATATAAAGAATGGGAATTAATAGTTGAGAGTCAACGACTGAGTTGATCTCATTGAATTGATTCATCATGTTTAATGAATGAATTGAACGGCTTCAGCCTAAGTTCTATTAGATATGCCTCCACTTAAACCTGGGCTTTACCATTTTATTTTGCAACTTCCCTCGTAAACAATATTGCATATTTTTGCGGTTTTGTATAAAGTGAAATGTGCGGTGTTTATTAAATTTAGGTGATTAGGTGGTGATTTATTGTTTAAATTGTTGAGGAGGTCCAGCCTTCAGGGGCTAGCACAGTTTTTAATTAGTCATAAAGTCATTAAACGCAGGTGAAGAGATTTGACAGGTTCGCAATTTTTAATGAATTCATTAAATGTTCTTGGTCAAAGTTTTATCAAATTTTTATCAGATTAATCTTGGCCTAGTTTATAACTTTTTCCTAGAAATAAATGTGAGTGGGGCAAAATGGAGTAGCTTTCATTGTCCATGACTGGAGACTCGTTGCGTGAAATTTAACGAATTTGACGCTATTCCCGAGCTCTTTTTTTCAAGCTCAAAATCAAAAGATTGAAGTAGGCCCATTCTTCCTTGTTGCAAGGAGTCGATCCGTTCCTCTTCCACTCAAAAATATTAAAAATATAAATTAATAGTTGAGTGTTAATGACTAAGCTGACATCATTGAATTGATTCATCATATTTAATGAATGAATTGAGCGTCTTCAACTCAAGTTCTGTTAGATATTTTTCTGCTAAAAGCTGGGTTTTACAAGTATATTCTTCAACTTCCCTCGCAGAAATAATATTCCATTAACAGTTGTTGCCCAATTTATTCTCTACGAGAAGAAAAAGCAAAATGACTAGTTTCTTCTTTCATTCATTCATTTAAGGTATATCCCAAGTCAACACCACCCAAAAGTTGGAAAAAATTCGAAATGAGTTAATTTACTGCATTCTCACAAGTTATTGAGTTTTTTTTATCCTCATATGTTGTTGATGAAGGCAACAATAACTGTTTGAATCAAAAAAGAAAATTATTTGTTGACTAATTGTTTGAATCGAATAAGCAATGATTCGATAAAATTATTTAAATAAGAAAGTGTTCGGAATTTATCAATTTAAGATGGATTCGTTTTTTAAGAACATCATAAAAATAGTTTTCTTATAAAATGGAAAAATCGAGTTTGGGGGTGTAGTACAGCTAGTTAGAATTTTTTTCAATAGCTGGGGAATATTATAAACATTATCTATGAAAAACGTGGGGACAACCGTAAGAGAAACCTGTTTTCTAAGGATGTACCTTAAAGTCGTTTGAATAGGGTCCAGTTGAGTCGTTGAGTGCAACGGGGAAAAGTAAATTTAAACTGCATAAAAAAATAATTTTTCATCATCGATAATTTTTTACATGATTTCCAACTTTCATGAGTGTTAGAAATTATTTATTATAAAAGTTGAAACCATTTCAATTATCTATCTGCAAACCAGGAACGTTAAAAAAAATCTATTGTTTAATTAATAGAATTGAACAATCCTGTTAATTAAACAATAGATTACCGAACTTTATTATTTAAAATAATAATGCTCAATATTCATTTCTTTTTTCAAATTTGACAATTGAAAATCGTTGAATCTATAGTGTGATCTGTACAAAACTAAAAGATAGGTGGATATCCTTATGGGGTAGCAGAAGCCGTCGCAAAAGTTTGTTTTTTCAACTCATTTTTCTCCGATTGCGTCTAATATAAACGGCTCAAATTTTCACCAAGTATTGAGGCGAGTCTAAACGTTGTCGTCCATCTATTATTTTTTAGCATCAGCTGTGTCGTTAATTTTTCTGCATTTTTTTTTTGTGAAAAATCTGAAAAATAATAGATGGAGGACAACACTTAGTCTCTCCTCAATACTTGGTGAAACTTTCAGTCATTTACATTGGACACAATCGGAGAAAAATGGGTTGAAAAAACAAACTTTTGCGACGGCTTCCGTTACCCCTTAAAGAGATAGACCTTTCAGATTTTTGCTGGAAAGGCCTTTTAATCTAGAAAATCGAAAAAATCGTAAAAATCGAAAAAATCTCCGTGTTACCCCTCCTTGTAAATAAATTGAATATAATTGATTTCCAGATAAACCCGTGGTGACAGCCAGTCGTGGAGGTAGGATTGGCAGAAGGGCCGGGACAAGCCTTAACAAACTACCGTGAATCGAGGTGACTGCGACTTCCCACTGTTTTTTTTTCTCATGAAGCAGTGTTGTATCTAGGATATTCCGCATAAAATAATCGAAAATATCAAGTTAAAGCTTTGAAACGAAAGATAAACAAAAAGACTCAATTTCCAAGATATATATTGAGGGTTAAAAGAACAAAAAAAAACAAATATGGAGCGTGAGTCAAACCCTATGCAAGCCCTGTGCCGCAGTGGCTGTGGATTCTATGGCTCACCGGCCACCGATGGCCTCTGCTCTCTCTGCTACAAGGAGAATCTTAAGAAGAAACAACAACCCCCAGTATCGGCTGCCACTGTTTCAGCCTCACAGACCGTCTCTGGTAACGCTGGTACGTTGCAAAGCGGTTTCAGCAGTCCAGCATCAACGGGGACTGCCCAGCCTACCATTCCCACCATACCACAGCCAACGACAGATCTGCCTGGTCCCAAAGAGGTATGTTTTAGTATTTTTAAGGGTGTTATGGGGTCGGCGGGAAGGGGGGGGGGGAATTTGACCAAAAAATTTAACTCAATACCTCAAGGTTTTGTTTTCCAATGTCCACTAAAATTTTTTGGTCCAACAAATTGGACCCTCAACAGAATCGTAAGGTTAGAAGAAATTGAAATTTCATAGACAGTTAGTACTAGTAATTTTAGACAGACAGACTAGTAATTTTCCGGAGAGTTACATTGAATTCGATTGGGGGAATAAGAGTAAAATTGCAGCTTTCTTCGAAAATTCAATGAAATTCTAAATTTTTTGGCAACAGGAAGACTAGACTTCCCTAGCTTACTTGAATTTCCAAATGACCAAATTAGGCTGAATTTTCAAGTAATTAAAAATTTAACAAAACATTTATCTGAACTGTCCTGATTTCTATCAATTTTTGTGGAATAATTGAACTAAAATTCACAGCGTCCATTGATTTTTCTGTAAAATTATGAATTTTTAAAAACAAAATTTCAATTTTGACAAAGTTCCTGTAATTATAAATGATAATTATATAATAATTATCCAGCCCAATTTCTTTAACATTATTCAATCTCGTTTATCACCACTAAAAAAATTAAATTTGTGAATAACAGACTCAATTAAACAGACCTAATTAATTGATTAAAATTAATTGCATGGCATTAAACAATGATTAGATTGTTAATTAATTATATCATACTCTTAACTCTGTATTTTCCCTAGACGTATTCTGTTCTAATTTCGATGCGTTATTCATCTAATTAATTTAATTTATCTTTCATTTGAGTCATTCAATGATAATTTACTTTAGAAGATGAAAAAAAAGTGAAATTTTTTAATAGAAGTTCAGATAAAATTTTTGATAACAGTAAATTTCTAGAAAGCATTGCATACACTTTCGTGGGCTATTGAGAGTGTTAGGTATCAGAACTTATCAGGAAGATTGAAATGTAAAATAAGAACTGAGGAATGCGCAGAATGAAAAATTCACGTTAACATGGTAATTAGCGATTGTAGAGCACTTTGTTTTGAGTTAGAGTTTATATAGTATGGTTAATGATAACGATTTCCTGAAAAGCGTTGCACAGACTCATATGGGTCAATGCGTGATCGATATCTGTAGTTACAAAAAGAAAAATTACAATCACTAAGAAAATTCACGGAAAAATGACAAACTCCGAGTTTTAATCTTTTAAGCTGATATTTTTCTATAAACATTTAAAAGCATGTTGAAAATAGCTCCCCAGATTCTACTTATTCGCACACTGATGGAAGGATTAGTTACTACGTTAAGAAAAAAAAAATGTTTTGCCAAATATCCATTTACTTGAGGGAAGTATTTATTTTTTCAACACCATATTTCTTCAGTCGAGTCATTTCCAGGCAATCCTCATTAGGTTTCAATTATGACAATTGTATTATTCTAGAAGGTGATCATGTTAGTTATGACCTGAAGTGAATTCCCTCAATAATTATCAACATTAAAAAATTATCGAAATTTTTAAATTGAATTTATTAAATCGAAATTCTTTCTACAAAATAAGAAATTTATAAAAAATGAATAATCATTGGAGGAGTTCATCCAAGGTCATGTTGCAACATAGTCATTCTCTAGAGCAGCATGATTGTCATATGATTGAAAGCTCGTCAAGCTCGTCTGGGAATAACTCGATTGGAGAAATACGATTTTGAAAAAATGAATGCGTTTCTCAAATAAATGACTATTTGGCAAAAATAATTTTTTTCCTCAGTGAACTGAACTCAATTTTCCAGAGGTACTAGATATTTGTCCTGAATTTTTCAGCAACACTGAAGCTGAACTGAACTTCTGCCACGTTTTTATGCAGTAAAATTTACCTGGAAATATGATAACTGACTTTGAATATTCTAGACAAGTGGGAAATTCCATTCAGAGAGGCTATTAATATTCAATTCTACTCATACAATTGCCAGTTATGCAACCGCAAACAAACTACATATTTCATAAACAATTATCATGAACATTCAGTACTTTATGAAAAATTTCGTTCCATTTGTAGTTTTTTTTTGTGGAAACCTGAACATTGAGACCTGAATTCTGAAGATATTTTGAGCATATAACTGAAACTAGCGGAACATTCGCCAGCGGAGACGTTAATTCAGGGGATTTTTAAGAGTATAACAGTCAAAGAATCATACGTACAAACGTTTTTAAGCACGAAAGAGTTTGTACATGACTTAAAAATATTTGTGCACTCATAAATTCTCCAAAATCGCATTTTCCGCTGGTGAATTTTTAGCTAATCTCAGTTTCATATTTCAAGACGAATTCTGCAAGTGTCATGATAATTAAATTCCAGGGATGACTAATAAGAACAGAAAATGCATTAGTGAGAAAAAGATTTACAAATAAGAGGAAAAAAATTAAGGATAGATAATTAACTAGGATAATTCATATGTAATAAACGAAAAATATTCAAATATGAACTGCTTTTTTTCAAAATAATACGGATTTGTCTGTTTAATATACTCTAGAATATCTGCATTGCGCATTGCCTTTTTTTTAAGAAAAATGGATCATATGAAAATTTAGAGCATTAAGAGAATTGATTAATTGTTCAATATTCCTTTAACGAGTAGCACAACATCAATTTCTAATTCCACGTGAAAGTTCTAAGAATTCCATCGCAGAGCATTGGGAACACAACGTTTTTATTCGATAACATTTTTCCATGTCTCGATGACTCTCCCAAGTTCGAAATTTTTTCTAATATTCGAATGAAATTGTTACTATGGTTATTCGCCTAAACAATCAAAATTGTCACACATTTTTCGGGGTTAAACAGATAAATTCACCAGTATACTTATGGGCTCTAGCCATGGCCCACCATTTCCCACTAACTCGTCGAGAAGATCAGTAAATGTTACAATTAACAGTCATCTCTATTTTCGGTGATGTAAATTAACGAAGGAAACTTCCAGAAAGGATCAATTCCGCAGTTTTGGCTCGAATGAATCAACACATTTGTGTGGATTTAATTTTTTCCTCCTTCTGGATATTTATCTTCGTTGATTATTCATTGCCCATTCATTAATGAGATTGGGTGAATCATCAGGTAAACAGGGACGATCAGGACGGTGAAGTTGGAGCAAGTGGGGCGGCCGAGGGCTCGGTCAGCAGTGGTGACACCGATGATTGCTTTGATGGCAAAGAGACTGACAAAGATCCAAAAAAGAAGAAAAATCGTTGTGCACTTTGTCGCAAGAAAGTAGGCTTAACTGGTGAGTAATTCATTTTATCTTTCTATAATTTCATGTTTTGCTATTAATTTCGAGATTTTCAATTACCAAATTTTATCATTAAGGTCTATGCTAAGACAATAGCACCCAAAAGAGTCCCAGGAGTCCCTATGGATTTCCGGAAAAAATTCTAAATTACTTAATTTATTGCATAAGTTATTGAGATTTTCTATCCTCATATGTTGTTAATGCAGCCAACAATAACTGTTTGAATGAAATAAGCAATTATTTATTAATTAATTATTCGAATCGCATAAGAAATACTTTCACGAAATTCCCATTTTTTAGAGTTGAATATCGCAGAAACTATGTGATACAAAATTGTATTAAAAATTCACAGTATTCGGAATTTATCAATCTATCACGGATTAGGTTTTTAAGAACACTGTAACATAAAATTTCTAATGTGAATAAAAATTTTCTAATGGAATTTAAGAAAGAAATCGTAGAAGTGTGTAGATATTGATGAAAGATATTTATCAACCATACCACGAATACGTTTAACCATTATAATTCTTTTTTTTAAAGGATTTGAGTGCCGTTGTGGTGGACTCTTCTGCTCTGTGCATCGATACAGTGACAAGCACGACTGCAAGTTTGATTACAGAGAAATGGGCGCCCAAGAGATACGGCGCAATAATCCAGTTGTTGTTGGTGAAAAAGTGCAAAAAATTTGAACTATTTTAGTGTGTAGTCGTTGGGAAAAAAATGGTTATATAACTATATAAACAAAAACAAAATATTACGAAAAAAAATGGAAAAAAAATGACAAAAAACATATTAAAAAAATGGAAAAAACACCGGAGATAAGAGAAAAAAAGTAACAATAACGAGATAAATTGTCTGGCAGCTGATTGCACATCGAGGAATGGAGAATGCAAGGGAATCTAGTAAAAAATATGTGAATAGTTGAGAATATGAATGAATGTATGGATGTGTCTGCTGATGAATGAGACCAAAATGTCAAAGACAAAGAAATGGGTTATGCAAGAACGTGAAAATTTTTTTTGACACGCCAGCGAGAGTCATAAAAATCGGAATTTAAACAGATAAATAAGGAGAAAAAAAAATTATAAGAAATTTAATGTGTGCGAGTGTGATGATCAAACACGAGTGTCAGTGCCATGTCAGATTGTCATCCTAGTGAGAGTTTCAACAGCCAAGATGAGAGGAAAACAAAATAAGAAAAAAAAATAATATCTGGTTACTAACTGCTGTCAGCATACTACTATTACCTACTATTATCACTATGATTATTACGGTTTATTATTCTTATTATATTACGTTTATTAATTTACTTAAATCTGCAAAATTCGCTGGATAAAAACCGATGAAAAAAAAAACGAAATATTAATAGCAAAAAAAATTATCAATAAATTTATATTTAAGTAGACGCGAAATTCCTGGTGCAGTCAGTCAGTCGGAGATTAATCTTGTTTGGGATAAACGAATTGGGCGGGGTCGGGGGAGGGGGGGTGTGGGTTATAAGTGTGACAGAGTCGATTTTTGATCCAGCCAAGAGAGCAAGAAGAGGGGGTCCGATGCCTCCAACAACGGGCGAAAGAAAATTATGTTTTTTTTTCTTAAATATTATTTTTCTTTTTATCAATAATTATCTTTTTTCTTTTTTGTTTCTATATATATTGAGAAAAGGGAGTGTTGTTTAGGCGATGACTGACGTTGATGGGTGATCACAACTTCTAGGTTTAATGAGTAGTCTAATAATTATTAAGTATATTAGCCGATTGATTCATAAAAATAATGCAATGAAGTATAAAGTAGTACTGTGTGTTTATTGTCCAATCTTCACGTTGAATATAACGAGCATTATTACTCATTAAAGAAAAAAAAAACGTAAAAAAAATTTAACACTGTTTGAGACATTGGGTTGCGCGAATTTCGTGGATTTTCATTATTTTTTTTCTTCAGTGATTAACGAAGAGAAAGGGGATGAAGATTGATGATTCTGTGGACCCTTCGCTTGCCAAAAAAGGGGGACAATGCGAAGAGCTCTGTCCTCGTGGTACTGCTTGACTGGTAATTAATAAAATCAGCTGGCAATATATATATTTTTTGTTTCACCTCGAGGATGTCCAGCTCTCGTGATTGATCAACTGGCGTCTGTGTTTTTCAAATAGTGTCAAAATAAATTAACAAATTTGTTTGATTTGTTTCCTAGCTTTGGTTATATAGCAATGACGAATGGAGGAAAATTGTAAATGCGATTTAATCGAGATGGGAATACCCAGAGATCCGCCCACGATCAGCACTCTAGAAGTGATACTGAAAAATTATAAATACAGAGCTGCGTATATTCGGGTTGACGTCGTCACCAACTTCACAGAAGTGGAAAAATAATAAAGTGTTGAGATAAACAGGAGATAACCATCGACTCGTTTCAGTTTATTATCATCAATTTAATATTAATATTGAAGAAAATGAGTGAGACAAATTGAGTAAATAAACTACTTTGTAGGTAGCGAAATATTCCATCATATTGATGAGCCCTTTGATGTTTCACTCGTGGACAGAATCAATGCGGAGAGAAATGCGAAAAGCTTGTATGACCTCTTGGCGAATGCTCATAGAGACCATTTGATAATTCATCAGGCGATGATGGGCTGTTGAGGGGAACTTCACTGCAAAAGCAAACTTTTCCGTTTTTTTAGGGCACATTTTTTCAAGAGCTATTTTTCGGACGATTTCTTCCCAGGAATTCGATTTTACAGGTCAAAATTGCGAGTTCAACTTGAAAAAAAACCGCACGTATAGATTTTTTAGTTTTTTTAAAAATATAATTACGAATTTTTGCTTCTTAATAAGGAAAATCGGGGAGAAAATGCATTTTGAAGTTTATTTGTCAAAAAAATGTCGTTTATTTCAAGGGGTCGATTTTGTTATCAAAGATTTTCTATGAATATCGTCATGAATGAAGTTTACACGTAATATTTGAACAAAAAATTTTTTCCAGATATTAAAATGTTTAATGAATAAATCAATTTCAAAATGCATCTCCTCACCAATTTTTCACAATTAAGGAGCGAAAATTCATGTTCACAAAACTATGTCAAAAATTTATACTTTGAGAATTTTGACAAGTTCAATTTTTCGGTTACAAAAAGTAAAAACATCTAATTGTAAGATTTTTCCGGAGAAAAAATCATGCGAAAAATAGTACTTTTGGAAATTTTTCCTCAAAAAACGAAATTTTTTTTTCTCTGAGTAAATCGCCCCTCAACTGTTGGTTGAAAAAGGAAAAATGGGGGAATATGGACCTTCTTCAAGCGTCAATATCTCGAGCTTGGCTGAATGAAAATAAAAAAAATTTCATACCTTCACGGTATTTTTTCAAACTTTGAAATGAGACTAAATGCCCCCGAATCCTGTCGAAGTTTCAAGAAGACCCATTTTGCCCAAACTCCCCTGATAGCATATGATCGTGGACGGAGGTTCTTGCGCCTTTCGAAATAGAAGAAATAAAAGGAACACAATAATAAAGAATCGTTGTTGCTTTACATGTTTATTCGCTTTAGGTAATATTAGTAATGGTGACAGAGCGCCGCTGCATCAATTTATTGCTGCCAATCACTTTGTACGAATACTTTGCAAAACACGTATAAAAATTATATGAAAGATAATCATGGACTGGTGAAACGATCGGTTTATCCAATATACTTGGTTCGAGTATATTATTTGTCTCGACAAATTGAACAATTTCATCGCAAAATAATAACTCTCTTTAATCAGTATATCACATGATTTTCCTCGTATGAACAATGGAATAATATGCATCAATGTCTTCCTGTACTCACTGAATATTTCTCCCTCTCACGGTTCTTTTATCGTAAAATATTCATTTTCGTTTATTCACGGTTTCTGGATTTTTTTCCTTTTCCTCCACTCAGGCAGATTACTTACCCAGTCTGGACTATTTAATTGTTTTTCACATCTAGCATTATTGTTTAAATGTTCACTTGGTATTTTTCACTGATTAATAATTAATTATTACTGGCAATTATGTGGGGAAAAGTGTCAACGTATGAAAATGAATAAATAAGGAATGATGAATAAACGTGCAGAAGAATAACGCACATGAGTTTAAATTGGTACGACGACGAGATAAAATATTGACGGTTGCCTTCAGGCCTTCATCCTATTTTAGGCATAGCATATTTTTCTAATATATACCGCAATATCGGACTTGCGTGGCAAGATCGCTAAAAACGAAAACAAAAATAAAAAAATCAGGAGAAAAAAAATCGTAAAATGATGTGAAAAAAAATAATACGATAAAAAATACGAGTGCAACTAAAAAAAGTTATGAGTGAAATCATTGACGAGGAGAGAATGAATGCGTGTGAATGAATATGGAAAGAGGGACAATGGTAAAAGTATATAGAAGAAAAAAAAACCGATGAACACTAGTAACAATATTTATGAGGAATAAACAATGGACAAAAAAAACAAATCGATGGATTTATCAGTCGTGCTTATGCTCGGCTGAGAGGACTACAACATAAGGACGTAACGATGCTTGTAATTATTTGAAAAACAAAATGATATTAGTACGTTTAAGCGATTAAATGAAAATCATAAAAAAACAACAATTAACGAAATTTCATATATTACCGATTGAAATATCCTTCGGGAAGGGAACGAGTGAAGTGAAGAAAAAAACTAACAGCTTTAGTGTCTAGGATTTCTTTCGTATTAGGTAAATGAATTTTTTAGACTAGTGTATTTACATTTAAAATCCCTAGAGCTCTTTTCACTCTTCACACATTCTTCGTCTTCACAAGGTTCTTCACGATAAAGAAACAACATTCGTAATTATAGTTGACTATATTTATGTATATTTAAAGAGGAAAAGAGAGAAAGAAGAAATATATAAATCAATTCACCCCAACAAGAGGAAAAAAAATATCAATGGACAAAAATAAGAGAAAAAAAAACAGTCAAACACAACTGCATTCTGCATTTTTATTCGTTTCGTAACAAAATTGCTACAATAACCGATTTTATTTTCTTTATCCATGTAATAACAAATTATTAACTATTCATTAATTTGCCAATATTACCGGGGAGTATCTCATTTCGTTCATTATCTAAATTGTCACTTCAATAGTGAGAAAGTAAACTCTCTTGAAGCCGATAAAATAGAGTTTAAGTGCACTTTTTCGCTGGCAAGACAGGAAGATTATCATTCAAGACAAATTAGACATGATAAATCAGAGATAATGATAAGAACAGTGAACAATTGCATTGCCTACTCAACGAAAGAGACACACTTGATAGCTTTACTAAAGAAATTTCATTCTTTAAACTTGGAACATGGTATTATTACTTAATCGTGTTCATTTCTTGACTAGTACTCGTTTTTAATATTTCGACGTGAGTTATTAGCAGACGGCGCAGCCGTCAGATACTTCTGAAGCGTTTTAACACTCGTGTGAGTCGGCAAATGTTGATCAATCTTCGTGGGACTCTGGACAGGCAATGGTGGAGTTGATGCGGGTGTGAGAATACCAAGATCATTGTCACACTCGATGTCTGTCTCAGACAGCATTGAACGATCGGACTTTATGTAGCCGTGATCCTCGATTGCTGCTATCTTGGCTTTTGGAATTTTAATGACAACGGTATCTGTACTACTCTCATTATCGTTACCAGCCTTTGATCCTTTTGTTGTGTTGATCGAAGACTTCAATTGCAACGCTGTACAACCATTGTGCTGGATTGATGCATGATTCTTTAGACCATATGGAGTTTTGTAGCTTTTTCCACATGAACATTTGAAGGCTTTACGAATCCTATTAAACAGTTCTTTCATATAAAATATTTAACAGGAAAATCAGCGGAGTTGATTGAACAGTTTCGTCATTAGGAGGAGAAAAAAAGATAAAGTGGCTTTATGAAAGTAGTATGGTCACTATTGAAAGCTATTTGATGGTGAAGGGAGAGGGGGAGGAGGAGGAGGAGAAACTTGATCTTTTTTTAGAAACGTCAGCGGACTATTGCAGTCCATATCTAATTAAATTCAGTGAATTTTGTTCATGTTGTTCTTTTCTTCGCTGGTTATTGCATATCTATTATTTTATATGAAAGTAAAAAAGAGCAGTTAATTTTTTATACTGGGTATTAGAGTGTTACTTCATTGATTTTATCGTTAATTTTATATTTCTTGGGCCAGTGCTATCCTCACTTTGTTGTTATTGACTGTGTTAATTGATTAATTGAGGTTTGGCAGGAATGTTTTTGGGGGGGTGACAATGGGAAAAAATGAATTGAGGTGTTGTTCCATGGACTCTTCGTTGACTAGTTTTTTCCTTCGCCTGTTATTGTTGCAATTTAATTGTTATGAAAATACCAAAGAGCCCATAATTTTCATACTAGGAATAACGATTATTTTCTTTAAGGGTATCATTATTGCATATCAGTTATTATAAAAATAAGAAGGGGCAGTTAATTTTTTATACTGGATATTGGAGTTTGACTTTATTAATTTTATCGTTAATTTTATACTTCTTGTGTCACTGCTATCCTCACTTTGTTGTTATTAACTGTGTTAATTGGTTAATTGAGGTTTTGCAGGAATTTTTTTTGCGGGATGTGAAAATTGGAAAAAAATGAATTGAGATGTTGGTCCATAGGCTCTTCTTTGACTAGTTTTTTCCTTCGCCTATTATTGCTATTATTGCAATTTAATTGTTATGAAAATACCAAAGAGCCCATAATTTTCATACTAGGAATAACGATTATTTTCTTTAAGAATATCCAAGTACTTTGGCTACTTTCTCTCCAGTGAAATGCTTTTCTACTTTTGTAGTTGAACATTAGAGCTTTCATTTCAGCGTCATTTGACCGTAAGTTTCGGGACATTTTACAATAATTTTAATATTTAAACTTGGCAGGTCTGAATCGATATTAAACTGTTGGAAAACATTTTAAAAATTTGAAAAAAAAATTAGAAAGTTTACTCTGAAGGAAGATTGATGAAATAATTAAAAAATTGCAATTTTGGAATATTACGAGAATTTACTATAAATAATTTATAAACAATCAATTTTCCATCATAAAAATCATTTGTTCGGAATCGTAACAAATTTATTCATACTCAGAATTTTACCAGAAATCAATTTTATGCCTGAAAAAATAAGGTTTCCGAAAGTTTAAACAATTATTTATTTATAAACAACGAATGGTTCAAAAATAATAATTCTGTGCAAATTTAATTTGAATGGCGCTGAATATTCATGGTTTTTTCAAATTTTTCTCACGCAATTTAATCTATAGTATCGTCTGCACCAAACTGTAAAATATACTTGGATATCCTTTTAATCTTGACTTCCATTTCAAATATCCTGCGTCATTGCGATTCCTCACGTTCTTGTTATTATCTACATTAAATGATCAATTGAGATTTTGAATTAATTTTTTGCTACATTGCACAGTCTCTCCTTCGCCTAGTTCTTATTCTCACCTACAGTTATTTTTGCAATTTAATTACTATAAAAATACCAAAAACTTGATCTTAATTATACTGGGTACGAAGTTTGTTCTTCGTTAATCTTCAATTTGCTATCATTATCTGTATTAAATGATCAATTAAAGTTTTGGATGTTTTTTTTCTGATATGAAAATTGGATGAAAACTATCAGACACATATTTTATTCAATGAAAGAATGAGAATTAATAGAAGCATTGTGACGTCATAATGCAAATTTGTCCGCCATTGCCTGTGACTTGTCGATTATTTAAAATAAAAAAACTACATATCTCACATTTTTTATCAAATTTCCATAATTCATTTCGCGTTTCAAATGAATATTAATCTTCACGTTCATTTCAAAATAATTCTATTTTTCTTTATTGTTATTTTCGAAACAGACTTGCGACCACACTACCTCATTTTTCCAACCAAACTAACTGAAAAAAATGTGCAATAAATCTTTCACGACGAAGCAATCCATTTCGTGTTGTTGTTACAATTTTTTCTCGTTAAAATTCGAACTACAAGAAGAGGTGCAAAAACTATTTACATACTTGCCATCATTTTTGTGTCCATTCTTGGAGTGATATTTAATTCCATTGATATTTTTGTATCTCTTTTTACATCCAGGTACTGGACAAGCGAACGGCTTGTCGGCATTATTATTCTGAGCTGTCACACTCTGACTGATTACCCTGGGAATTAATAAGCGTATAGTGATTTTGGCCAGCTTATCACCATTTTTTTCTCTCCCTAAAGAGATAAGCTTTTTTTTTCTTTTCCCTCAAATGCGCCTCATGTACCTGCTACCATAGCGTAGTATGTAGTCAGACGAGAATTCCTCTGACGTTGTCCACGAGTCGTTGCTGTCCTCCGGCTCACTGACAAGGTCCTCGCCCTCTTCAGCTTCGCTTCCTGGAATGAGGAGTGTCAGCCACCGGACAAATGATTGTCGATTGATAGTCTAGATCATCTTCTTGGTGATAAGTTAAGGGGAGACCGCGGTGAAATTTGAAAGTCTCGGCTCGGCCTTAAGAGCCATTGGGCGATTTTTGATATATGAAGGGATATATAAAAAAGTGAGATAAATTTCGGACCCAAACCATTTTGCCCCGTATATCCACTAAAAACGTCGTTTTTCACGTTTTTAGCTTAGAAATGCCCCTTGTACCACAGTTTCCATCCGATTTCAACTTTTTTTTTAAGGATGTTCTACACCCTTTCTGCCTAAATTCACGTTTTTTTAAATTTTTCTGGCAAACTTATGATGGAATTGACGTGAAAAAATATAACGTTTTTGCGTTTTGTCATTATTTAATGACTGACGAAATTTTAAGGTGGTGCGAACATTTTCCTGCGTTTTCTCTAAACTTTTAAAAAGAATCACAAAACTGTAGAAAAAACGCATGAAAATTATCGCACCACTACGCAACTTCGTGAGCCATTAAAGAATGACAAACCACAAAATCGTTATATTTTTTCACGTCACTCCCATCGATAATTTGCCAGAAAAATGAAAACAACGTCAATTTTGGCTAAAAGGGTGTCGAACATCCTTAAATGTTCGCTATACTCCAATGAACAAACCCAAGTATCCGTTTTGCTTTATATTTATCAGATCATGAGAAAATGATTTTTTTAGTTTCTATTTTTTTTCCTCTTTTTAGCAAATGCTAAAATTAGTTGTTTTTCGTTATTCCACGTTGTAATCATACGTAATCGAAATATTAAAAAAAAAAATGTGCGGGAAACAACGAATTTTAGCATTTGCTAATAAGAGGAAAAAACATGAAAACTAAAGAAAAACATTTTCTCATGATCTAATAAATATAAAGCAAAACGGATACTTGAGTTTGTTCGTTGGAGTATAGCGAACATTTAAAAAAAAAAAGTTGAAATCGGATGAAAACTGTGGTCCAAGGAGCATTTTTAAGCTAAAAACGTGAAAAATGACATTTTTGGTGGATATACGGGGCAAAACCGTTCGGGTCCGAAATTTTTCTCACTTTTTTATATATCCCTTCATATATCAAAAGTCATCCAATGGCTCTTAAGGCCGAGCCGAGACTTTCAAATTTCACCGCGGTCTCCCCCTAATGTAAAGGAATCAGGGAATTTGGAGAAATAACACTAACGTCATTTACTGGGTTGGGGAGTAAAATACCACTGGTAATCACAATAACTCCCCGGAGAGGTTTTAGACCTTTTTGATCGCTGGAGGAAGTATGTCGCACGTCGAAGGGTCTAATGATCATAAATAGAGCGAAATAGTCAGAAGGCTCTCCCATTTTGCCTCGCGAGGGTCAAATGTAGCAAGTATTATACCTCGTAAGGGTACGAGACCGCAGGGGTCAACCAGGAGAGGTAAACAGGACAATGACAAGGGTCCAATGATCATGAGGCTCAACCAGGAGACGCAGGCAGGACAATCGCAAGGGTCAAACCAGTAGCGAAGCGGTAAAACGGTTCAAGTCGATTTTCACCATTGGTCAGTTTTCAATGAATATCTCGAAATCTAAGAGGGATAACAAAATTTTCGCCATGACCTTTTTTGCAGCCCACAATTCACTCTACAAAAAAGGTCATTACAAAAATTTCATTATCTCCCTTAGATTCGGAGATATTCCTCGAAAACTCAGCTGAGGGCTAAATCGACTTGAACCGTTTTACCACTTCGCTACTGAAACGATCATATATCGAGCGAAATATATCAGAAAGCTCTCCCGTTTGACCCGTGTCCTGTTTGCCTCTCTCAGTTGATCCTTGAGATTGTCCTGCCTGTACTCTGTCGTTTGACCCTTGCGAGTTATGATCCTTGCGACGCTTGATCCTCGGAAGATAGGACCCTGATGACGTTTGACTCTCGTGAGGTATGACCCTTGCGACATTTGACCCTCGCAAGGTATGACCCTCTTGAGAACTGATAGGTTAGAGGGTTTTCAATCAGCTATTTACCTTTTTTTACCATCAGGTAAATTATCAATATTCTACTATGTACCGTAGAAAACTAGGATTTCCAATGAACGACCCAACCCTGGTCACTTACATGGCAGGACTATTCACAACGGTCAACGTATTTCATATCTTATTTTTTTTTTAGTTTCCAATATTCCGTCCGTACTGACAATGTGGCTTATTCTATTTTTTGCTCTGCAGCTTGAAATAAACTAGCCCTGAAGAGGTTTCGCATATGGACCGAAACGCCGGCTGATTTATGACTAGAATTTGTTTTTAATCTTTCTTATAATCTCACGTGACCGCAAGGCCGATTATTCAGATATAAATAAAAATAATGTGGATAAAAAAAGTCGAACGATTCGACATTTCGCAAAATTATTTGAACTTTGCACAAGTGTACATGAGGTGAGTTATAATTTGCAAAATTAAAATCATTAAGAATACAAAATTTTAGGTTGAAATCCCCCGTATATTTCTTGGAAACTTTCATGACGTTATAGTTTCAATGAAATTTGAAAGGAATTTCGTCTTGAAAAATCAAACTTTGATGGAAAAATGAATGGAAACTGTACATTTTAATCCAATTATCCCTTGAAAGTGAATCAGGAAAATAGTAATCAGGAAAATTCTGGTAAATAGATTTTTGAATTTTCAATTAATTAAAATTTAACGTAATTTTGTACTGAAAATTCATATTTTGAGTGGATATTCACATGACTTCTCATCTTCCTGCTTTTTAATTTCTTGAATCAACTTCTTCAATTTTGTCACTTCAGTAAATTTAGTGTTTTCTCTTCTTAAATTAAATTCAATGTTATTCTCCAGGAAATTATTACAGCCCTGTCAATGAAATTCCAATCAATTATTCCCAACAGTGTAACATGACTAGACATTGATGATGTCGGGAGCCTGAGGAAGTTGGAATAATTTTGCGAAATGTCCGGTCTTCTGACTATTTGATCAACGTTACTGTCATTCCTCAAAATTTCCACATCCAGCTATTTTCATTTCCATTTTTTATGTCTCTGAGAACTTCTTGCAATCATAAAAATTGTCAAGGATACTTTCACGTCGTTTCACCTGTTGGAGTAACATTTTTGTTACGACTCGTGTTGGTAACTGTTGTCTGACTAGATCGTCCTTGATTGATTGGCTTCAGCAGTTCCTGTCGTGTGGCGTCCGTCAAGAAACGAAGGGCATAACTGAGGGGTATACAGGCAGGCTGCTGCTGCTCTGATTGCTCCACAACAAGTGGATCGTAATCTGTTGATGATAAAATTTGCATTATGATAAAAAGTATTTGCATTATTCTCGAAAAATACTTTGTGAAGAATATTTTTGCATAGGAAAAACCATTTACACAAAATCATGTCAATGACATTAAATTCTAGATTAATTATTAAGGTTCACTTGAAAGAAAAACTAGTTGTTTTCTTTTAAAAAGGACTTGAAGACAAAAATGATAGAAAAAAATTAAACCAAAAAAACTTGTTTCCCACATTATGTTGCAAAATAATTAGACAAATCAGAACAAAATAATTACATATTCTTAATACATATTCGATTAGTTAAAAATTCATTCATTTAAATGAAAGTACATTCAATTCATTTAATGAAAGAACGACTTTTTTATGTGAAGATATTTTCTGAAATATCTAGAGTTCATTTTGCAGAAATTCCTTTTGATGAAAGTAATTTAGCTGAACTTATTATCTTCATAACAGTTGTTCAATCCCAATATTTAAAAAATCTATAAATTTCTCCAAAAACAATAACGACATTGCCTCAATCACGGTACAATCCTCCATCCATGCAACCCAAATTACTGAAATATTCCCAATTAAGTTCAAACGAGTGCAATTTTTCAAATTTCAAAATTAAAAGGGCCGAATTCAAACAAAAAAATCCGCGAGAAACCCCCCATTTTCGACTGTTCTATTCTCAACAAAAGACAAGTTACAAAGACAATCTCAGTGTGCAAATAAACCCGAACAACTAATCTCTCCGCCAATAGAAACATAATTATTAGACAAACAAAACAAAACAATTAGACATTCTTAATACATATTCGATTAATTAAAAATTAATTCATTAAAATAAAAGTACATTTAATTCATTTAATGAAAGAACGACTTTTGAATGTGAAGATATGTTCTGAAATGTTTAAAGTTTATTCTGTAGAAATTGCTTTTGATGAAATTAATTGAGCTGAACTTATTATCTTCATATCAGTTGTTCAATCCCAATATTTAAAAAATCTATACATTTCTCCAAAAAGCATAAAAGTATTGGCTCAATGAAGTCACAATCCCTCGTCCATAAGAAAATCCTAGCGTGCAAATAAACCTGAGCAACTAATCTCCCCACCAACAGAAACATAATAATTAGACAAACCAAAACCAAACAATTTGACATTCTTAATATATATTCGAGTATGAATATTCGCCAAGCCCAAAATTGATTCATTCACTAAAAAGAACATTAAATTCATTCAATAATGAACCACTTCTTTATGTGAAAATATTTTCTGAAATATCTAAAGTTCCTGTTGCAGAAATCCCTTTTGATGAAATTAATTTAGATTAATTTAAATTAATTGAATTTATTATCCCCATAACAGTTGTTCAATTCCAATATTTAAAAAATCTCTAAATTTCTCCAAAAAACAAAAATATTGCTGCAATCAAGGTACAATCCCCCATCCATGCACTCCAAATTATTAAAATATTCCCAATTCATTTCAAACGAGTGCAATTTTTCAAATTTCAAAATTAAAGGGACCGAATTCAAACGTCAAAAAATCCGCGACAAGCCCCCCATTTTCGACTGCCCTATTCTCAACAAAAGACAAGTTCCTAAGAAAATCCCCGTGTGCAACTAAACCCCGAACACCTAATCTCTCCCCCAGCAGAACCCCCGAAGCCTGTCATCCCCCGAAAACTCAAAATTCTCCCAATCAAAAAAATCATTCAAACCCCCTGAAGCCCTGGGCCCAGATAACCTCCCGAAATTCCCAACAGGAAATCAAGTCACCCATAACCTCAACCCCACCCCACTGTCACCCCCCAAACCCCCCCCAAAAACTCCCCCCAACAAATTAAAATCCACCCATTACCGATATGTGTCTCTTCAATGTGTTGAATTAAATGTCCCAAACTCTTGAACGTCAATCCACAACTGTTAAATTTACAGACGTTGAGCATAAATACGGCCATATCAGTTCTCTCACTGAACGATATAACCGAAGTCAAGTTGCGATCTCCAGTGCGTCCAAAAAAATCAAAGTTGCCTCTGAAATTCACCGACAAGTCCTCGAAAAATCCCCAATGAATAATTTCCCCCTCGGCCCCCACTCATTTGTCAATAAAACAAAACAAAATCGTCGATCGATTACAATTCAGACGCTCAATTGACCACAAGTGATGAACGAAAAATACGCTCGGCTAAATTCGGTTGGTCGATAAAGGGAGACGGTGCTCGGTAAGAGGTGATTCGTGGATTGAACGAAAGCCGTCGAGTTCCGTTCTGTGTGGCCTCAACGATAGGCTGGCGCATCGCCCCTCCGTTCACTCCCTCACTCACGAATCCAACATTCCAAAGGCCGGGTCGCCTTACCTTTTCCTCGACACTGCTCTTTGGTAAGTCCATAGCGCCCTGCTGTCCTGGCAAGTGAGTAAAATAATAAGGGGTAAAATCGTTAAAAACTCCCCAGAGGATTAAAATCAACTGTGTGGCCCCTCATCGATCGATTAACCCTGATTACCACCCCTGGCGTGTCACAAATAGCGAAAAATCGAAAATTGAGTATCAGTTGGTGCCGCGTTAAACGGAAACGGCGAGATCACGGGGGGGATTCGGCCATTTTATGGTGTTGCCGACAATTCACACGTTTCGTACTCTTGAACTAAACTTCGTAGACTCCGGGTATGACCCTGACCCGACCCAAAGTCGCAAAGTTCAATTATTTTTTCACTCAATAATCTGTCATCAACAGCCCCCGAGAATTTCATTTTTTTTTTGTGTTACGTAACCAGTTGGGTTGAAGAACCATTGGATTTAGTGGCCATTGGGGATATCAACGGTGACTCGTCTCTCATGCGCAGCCTGACTTTTCACATAAAATATTCTCGAATTTATTGAAAAGTAATAGTCCCTCCTTGTTGGGTATTTCCAGATATTCGAGTCGTCAGACTTCACCAATCAACGTCAAAATGTTCGCCTGCACTCGATTTATCGCCCCAGTCGCCAGGTCGGCTGTGAGTACTCAAAATTCATCCATTTTAGTGTTTCAGTGGTGCTGAACTATTTTCCATTACATAATCCCTACTTTGTCGTTCATGATATTCACGTGGTTTTGATGGCTTTTGCAGATCGTCGCTAGTAGCAAAACCTACTTGCGTCCTCTCAGCAGTGCTGTGATCAACCAGAGCCAGAGTCTCCAGGAGAGCCAAAGGCAGACTCCAGTGTGCTTGGTGAGTTGATTCACATGAGGACAATTGCATAATGATGAGACGAATGTTATATAATGAGTGTCATTTGTGTCTTTCCCTCATCATCGATGAGAATTATTTTTACATCTCAGGTCCAGCCTGAGATTTGATGAAAACTGAGAAAACTCTCCTCACATCATTTGCAAAATAAATTAGACATTGGGCGATACACGTTTGCGTGGAAATACACTCAAGTGGCTGAAGTTCAGTCTGGGAAAATCCATTCTGATGGGATTATTTGAGTTGAAAATATCTTATCATCATACATTCGTTCAATAGAGTAATGTTAAAGATAAATACATTTCTCCAAAAATACAGAAAACCAATCACTGAAACTTTTACAATTTATTACACTGGAATCCAATTCTTCCAATTTCAAAATTAGTCATTTGTCATTTGTATCTTCTCCTCATCATTAATGAAAATTATTTTTACACCTCAGGTTCAGATTAAGGGTATTTTAAAAAAATGAGAATCTCTCCTCACATAATGTCCAAAATTAATTAGACATTCGTCGATACACGTGTGAGTGGAAATATTTTTTCAAATAGCTGAAGTCCATTCTGGGGAAAATCGATTCTGATGAAATTATTTCATTTAAAGATAAATTTTTGCAAAAAAATTATAAAAATTGCAATAATTAAGGTGCTATTCCCTATTTATGCAAACGAATTATTGAAATGTTTTCTTCTTATTTCACTATGATGCAATTTTTCAAATTTCAAGATTAAGGAGTGAGTGAAGTAAAATGGGCACTTGACTTTACTTGAAACCTCAATGAATAATTGCATTGTAATTGAAATGGGATTTTTTCCGCGTGGGAAGAATCACTCCCTCTCTGTAATGGGCCACACTGAGCTCAATTGATAACTTTGTATCTAAGTTATGAACGTCCTTTCTGAATGAAGCATGAAGAATATCTCGAATCGAAAATGAGAACTCGAACATGGCGGAGATCTCGAACGAATGGAGAAATTAAGGCGGATTTCATGAGTATAATCGGCATGTGTCGAACTTTCATGAACCCCGCCTAACGAACAAAAGAGAAATGAATACCATCCCATTGAACATAAATGAATAAACGAATGATAATTGTCCAAATCATTTGAGTCAGAAGAAAATAGAATAATTCTGCTTTCTTAATATTGCGTTTACTAAGATTTTCTTCGAGCAAGGTTATTATCTCACGTTTTTAACGTTAAGAATAGGAGAATCGGAATGCGATATAGCGAAAATGGTAAATAAAGGGAGGCTGTGACTCAATATTCCAAATTAAGGCCCGGGTGTACTACCTTTCGAATGTTATCTGGATTTTTTTTATCTTTCGTAATCCAAAATTGTCAGTTGAGTAGTACATCATGTAGAAATTCCCAAAAATTATGATGGAATGATGAAAAAAAATTGAAAAAATGCTGAACTTTTTCTGAAAATTACAAATATCTGATTCGCTGTGGCAAATTTTCTATTAGGTGTCATTTTCCATGGTGGATAACAAAACACTAACTCCTCATAGGAAGTGACAGCTAGGTATCTTAATTTTCAAAACAGTGGTATGTAGTCATCTGCCCTTTTTATGTGATAAAAGTGTGATTAAAAAATTCTCCAAAATATTACAACTTTTTTCAAAGAGCCTTTTCCGTAATAAATGTCTCTGCGCAGTGTGGGAAAAGATTTACGAAATCAGTCTTCCCCCTGCATGATATTGGGTGACAGGCCGCCATTTGTCACCGTAAATCAGATACATTTTTCAATTTCTTGTTATTCAACTTATTCTGAATATAAATTACAAATGCTCTTTGAAAAAATTAAGAATTTATTCTACTTTTTTTTTATTATTCATTCATAATTTTTCAAAACTTCTGCATGATGCAGGACTTAGTTGACAATTTCAGATGACGAAAGATGACCAAAAACATCGAGATAATGTTCGAAAGATAGTACACCCAGGCCTTAAGTTATAATTTTTAATTTGGTGCTGAAAACATGAGATGACAATATTCTAAGCACGGAATTGTACTGATGAGATGAACAACAAATTAATTGATTTACCGTGTTCCAGTTTTATAATTATGGAACTTTTCTCACTTCAGTCGCCAGTCATCCGCAACTTCCAGACCTCAGCCCTCAGCCGTGACATTGACTCGGCCGCCAAATTCATTGGCGCTGGCGCTGCCACAGTCGGAGTCGCTGGATCTGGTGAGTTAATTCACGAAACTATTGGACAATTCGTAATCCCATGCATTAATAATGAATTTCCACTGAGTAAAACCTCACTTGTGCAACCATTACATAACCTTTATGTCTAATAACACAATAATTCCTTGTCCATCCCAAACTTCCAGGCATCGGCATTGGTCTTGTCTTTGGCTCCTTGATAATAGGTTACGCACGCAATCCATCCCTCAAGAATCAAGTATTCACTTATGCCATCCTTGGGTTCGCCCTCTCCGAAGCCATGGGACTCTTTTGCCTCATGATTGCGTTCCTTTTACTGTTTGCCATGTAGTTGATTGTTGTCGATTGTTCTCTGAGTTATCCACGACGTTCATCCCTTCCTTCAAGTTAGCTATTACCATTAATTCCTGTGATCCTTGAATTCAGTTGTGGAGTTGGAAAGTAGAAGAGGTAAATTTCAGTTGAAAAAGATCAGTTGTTGGAGAATATGTCAAAATTTACGAGCAACATGAAAACTTTTGGGAACATTTTTTCGTAGATGAAATTCTTCTCCACAATAAAGGCCTTATAAAAAGTCCACCATCTTTCACAGATTCGAAAATTGTCAGCAAAACCTGTAATGAAAAAAATTGTGAGGACTTTTTTCGTGGATCTAATTTTAATGTCCAAAACTGGTTCTTAAACAAGGATTCCATAGATTTGAAGATATTCAGCTAGGGTAACAATTCAGTAGCGAAGTGGTAAAACGGTAAAGTTAATTTTGACTATTGACCAGTTTTCGATGAATATCTCGGAATCTAAGGGAGATCGCAAAATTTTTGGTATAACCTTTTTTGTTGAGCCGATTGAAAGCTATAACAAATGTAGTTACGAAAATTTCGCTATCTCCCTTGGATTCGGAAATATTCCTCAAAAACTCAAGTGGGAGATAAGTTGACTTAAACCGTTTTACCACTTCGCTACTGAATTAGTTTTATTAGTTTTAGTTTTTTAAGAATTTATTTTTAAAAAACATCAGTTAGTTGAAAAAATTGTTAAAGAATATCTCGAAATTTACGAAAAATATAAAAACTTTTGAGAGAAATTCTGCATTGATCTACCCTTCCTCAATAAAAAAGCCCTCCTGAAAAATCAACCATTCACAAATACGAAAATTTCTGAAAGAATTGATTTTTAAAATGACTCTTATTCTGTAGATTTCTCTCTGGTTGAAAAAAGGCCATGAAAACTTCATGGGCGATTTAATTCCCTCAATTATTGGTTGATAAATTATTTAAAAATTTGAAAAATTGATTAATGGTTAATTTAATAATGGGAATTCGTTTCATAGCACCTATATAACTATTACATATCTATTAAAATAACGTTATTCACATTTTGTTTTCGGCAGTGCCTATCACTCCTCTTCACTCCTCAAAATTGATTCCTCTTAAAAATTCAGGTATCACCATTGGGTTTAAAAATACTCACCAAAAAGAAAATCAATGATTCAATCTAGTGAACTAAAAAAAATCCGTTTAGAAACAAAAATACTTTTATAATGGCTTTTCCCCGCAAAGCTTTCACAAAAATCTTGCGATTGGTCTTCATTTCAAAACCGTTTTCCATCCCCTAAACCTCACTCAAGTGAAATTACCTAATCTCGTTCTAAAACTCCACTCCTGAATTTCCCACAAAAATATTCCAATTGAACATTCTCAATCAGTCCAAGAATTGAATTGATGAATTTTTCCACTCCCCAGGTGCTGGAATTGGATCCGTATTCGGCTCACTGATCATCGGTTATGCCAGGAATCCATCCCTGAAGCAGCAGCTCTTCTCATACGCCATTCTGGGCTTTGCCCTGTCCGAGGCCATGGGTCTCTTCTGTCTTATGATGGCTTTCTTGCTCCTGTTCGCCTTCTAAGCCGTTAAACCAACATCCTCCATAACGAATTACCGATAGTTTTAGTGCGTCACTGCCAAGGCAGCGTCCATTCTCGCTTGAAACAATAGTAAGAAGGCTGCTGTCTGTGGTCCACGGGAGTCCATGAAATCATTAAGGATGCCGTTATGAATTTTCAATCATAAATAAGGAATAGTCAATGAATTCATTCATCTGGCGAGATTGGTTCGTTCGGGGCTCGAGACGGTGCAGCTGATGTGTTATTTCTTCTCATTTAACGCATTAAGGACATCAAAACGAGGCTGTAACACACTGAATTTAATAAATGACAAAAAATAACATCGATGCCACGATCACTGACGATTTATTTTAAATCATAAGGCTACCGTCACGTTCACCGTTCCAACCACTTTGAGCCTCACAAGCTCGTAATTATTTCATGGCCTACCGAATGAAAAAAAAAATCATGTAGCGTAACTCACAATTGTTATTGAAGTAAAAGAAGAAATTGAACAAAAAGAAAATTGAATTTCATTGTATTGAGAGAATCGAGAATAGGTTAATGAAAATTGTTCATTAAGGTAACAATATCAATTTCAAAAACAGCCTCACTACAATTACTAGCCCATACAAATACGTACGTTTCTCAGAGCAATCGGAATAATATTAATAATATTATTCTGGTGAATCTGCACCGATTCCACGCGTGTACGGTCGATCAATCGTTGGAAGGATTTTTTAGATCATTGAAATGAAACTGTATTCTCGCTGTTTTTGTTACCCGAAACGACTCATCATTGTTGAAAGACCCTCTCGTGTGCGCACGATTATTCTCTACGGTAACTCTTTGCGAGGAATCTGTACAGTGACTATCGAATAAACATTCATGTCGTGAGATTAATGTTATTTAATGGGCATACTTGATTGAATTTATCCTTTAGAGAGTTAAGCACTGGGGTTCATTTCATGCACAGTAGTATTGGGGTAAACACTTGTAATTCAACTTTGATATTTCAGTAGTTGAGTGAAGCCGTAAAACGGTTTAAGTCGATTTCGACAATTGGGCAGTTTTCAATGAATATCTCTGGATTTAAGGATATCCAAGTATCTTTTACAGTTCGGTACAGACCACACTATAGATTCAACTATTTTCAGTCATCAAATTTGTCAGTCAAATTGCGTGAGAAAAATTGAAAAAAATCATGAATATTCAGTGTCATTCAAATTTCATTTTCCAAAGAATTATTATTTTTTAAACATTCGTTGTTTATAAATAAATAATTAAAATTGTTTAAACTTGCGGAAACCTTTTTTTAGGCATGAAATCGATTTATGGTAAAATTCTGAATATGAATAAATTTGTTACGATTCCGAACAAATGATTTTTATGGTAGAAAATTGATTGTTTATAAATTATTTATAGAAAAGGCTCATAATTTTCAAAAATTGAAACTTTTTGATTATTTCATCAATCTTCCTCCAAAAGTAAACATTTTAAAATTTCTTCAGATTTTTATAATGTTTTCTAACAGTTCAATATCAAGATTCAAATTCAGACCAGCAAAGTTTAAATAATAAAATCTTTGTAAAATGTCCGGAAACTTAGGGTCAAATGGGGCTCAAATGAAAGCTGTGAGGCTCGACTACAAAAGTAGAAAAGCATTTTACTGGAGAAAAAATAGCCTAAGTACTTGGATATCCTTAAGGCAAATAGTAAATCTTTTTTGTAGAGCGAATTGAGTTCTGCAAAAAGGTTTGTTGGAGATTTGACTGATGCTAGGGGGCATTGGGGGGAAGTGTGAGGAAAAAGTGAAAATTAAATACACGCGAATTGCAAAAATTCACTGGTGATGTACTTTATTAGTGGCGCAAGCCACGCGTCTTGTTTGCTACACGGATCGAAATCTACATAATATGACAAAAATAATTTCTTGAGTGGAGAACATCGCATGCATATTCGATCGACTCATGGCGGGTTTCAGACAAGAAATCGGCGCTCTTCGGGCAAAAGGAGGATGATGCTGATTGAAAAGATGGTATTTTTTTCTGGAAATTGGATGATATTCCTGAAGAGACAAAGTAAGTTTGAGAGAAGGAAAAGATGTTATTGGTTTCCTTCAAACTCATTGCGATTTGGAATGACGGTTATATTTTAGAAATATCTGAAGGTTCTCCCCTGTATAAATTCTGTATTCATTCAATATGAAAGTCTCTGATCCATGACTCATTGAATCGAAGCTTTTAGTATTTTTAGTAGTTGTCTCATCTTTAATAAATGCTTTCTTGAGGCAATAAATTGTCACTTTATCGTCAAGTTTTCGTGTTCAAGTCACGAACATTTCACAGGATTCTTACACGGTCTAACGCATTATGCGGAATTCTTATCTCAAGCGTTTTATCCTTAAGAGATGCTATATGTGATGCAAAAAATTAATTTTGTGATATTATGCAGTGTACTGAACTCATATTTGGCGACATACTCCGTGATTTGATTCTGAACCGGAGAGTCCCGAAGTCACTCGAGATTTTCCGTTGAGACCGGTACCTTTTAATGATGAATTATTTGCTGCATTTTAAACAACGCTATTACGAAAATTTATCTATCTCTCTTAGATTCGGAGACAGTCCTCGGAAACTCAGTTCAGAGCTAAGTCGATTTGAATCGTTTTACCGCTTCGCTACAGATTTTTGATGATTACTTATAGAGGTGGACGGGGCAAAATGGATTCATTGAGTTCTTGGGAAAATCAGATAATTCTTTTTTCATGAAAAGTACAATTTTTCCCGCTTTGTGGTGGGCTAAGACTGAACTCAATTGATAAATTGAGTTCACGATTTATACAATTATAGCGGAGTGTTTTGATGAAGAATATTTCATCACATTATTCAGTTCAAACTTTGCTAGATGATAAAAGATGGTATGATGTAATGTTTTGATGTTACGATGTCAATATGATCAAATATTTGAATTTCATGGCCACGTGGAATCCATCAAAACAGGATTCTTACGACTAGAATGTTTAAACGCGCGACGTACGCGCTAATATTAATAAAAATTGATATGTGGAGTGCATCACCAGCTCCATCAAAATAGTTGAATGTTCAAGAATTCTTGATTTTGGAAGCACAATAAGTCGACAAGTTCCTGTAAGATTTTACTTCTTGTGGAAAAATTACGAGACAATTTCGTACTTTGTTCGGTGATGAACCTGAGAGTTCACTGAATTCGTCTTTTACTTATGAACGTAGGAAAAGTGTTTAAGTGTCCACTTTGCTCCACTCTCTTCGTTTGTCTTGGAAACGAGTGATTTTAGGGGAAAATGTCGAAAGATGGTTTTTCTTCACCAAAAAATTCTCTTTACATTTTTCCTGAAAATTGCATGTTTTTGAGATGAGTTAATCTTTAACAAGATATCGACAACTGACTTGTTCAGCATAAATATTATCCTTCATTCAAGAATTTTTATGTTGTCGAATTCCAAATTTTCAAATTCTTAAGGGTGCCAAGTGAATTTGAAGAAAGATTCAAAAAAATTTTTTTCTTTCCCTCCATCATTGGAGAAATATAATATATGTATTCATCCATCCGACGAAATTTCAAACCCGCAACCGGAACTAGACATCGAGAAAATAAATGCGGAAAATCCTCTATTTCGCGTGACGAACCTCGAGAAAGCATGGGATCAAATGAGTACGGCGGGTTGAAATATCTCTCTTATTCACCCCGGTACCCCATTGCTTTTTGTCGCCATCACATCGAACACATCATTCCCCATATCTTCAAATTTTTTCAAATTTTTCTTGAGTTCTTAGGGGGTTGAAACGTTCAATTTAATCAAAACTCCATAAGAGGCCGTGTATAAGACTGATTTTGTTTATTTAATTTCTCGACATCCATAAGTTCTAAAATTTTAAAATTGTCACCGATGTTCACCATCTGTCTAATACTATTAATTAAAAAAATTATAACTTTGTTGGTGAATATCAATTTTCAAGGTCATCGCCAAATTCACTTGGCACCCTTAATTCAAGGATAAATATTTTTGATCAAAGAATAAACTATTCACGATTAAAAAACTTGTTTCTTTAATCTTTAACAAGATGTGGAAAGTTGAGCTGTTCCACAGAAAAACAAACCATTTTTGAATCATTAATATTATCCTTTATTCAAGAATTTCTTTTGTGGATCGATTTTCAAATGCTTAATTCAGGAATAAATATTCTTTACAACATTCTCGACTCAAAAATTAGAGGCATATTTAATTCATCCATCAAGGAGAGATGTTCTGAGGTCCAGATATTCTCTTTTGAACTGATCTTGATGGTTTCATTTTTTTTTTCATTTTGACAATCTGAAATAATTTCTACTTGCAATTCAATTTTACATAGCATAAATTATGATTGTGCAATGGAAAAAAATAGATGAAAAAACTGTTCTGTTTTTTTTCTAGTTTCTTTTTATTGTGCAATTGTAATTTTTAGAACTCCTTCAAAATATAAAATTTAATGGAAGCAACGGAAAATATTTTAGATTATAAAAACGTAAAAACAATTAAGATAACGTTGGGAAGATAATCCATCCAGGCCTTAAAATTAAGAATTTTCTCAACTTTATCGTCAAATCATTTCTAATAAGCAAAAAAAAATGAAGAGTCAACAATATTCGTTCACTTGGTCATGTGATGATTTTATTCCGATGCTTATACAATCAGTTCATGAATGAATTCCTCCCGTTGCTCAATTTTCCTCCACATCGTCTTTCATAAATTTGAATCACCAAAGAATTACGAAGTCAAATCGACCTCCTAGTTGACAAGTCCATCGATACGGTTGCAGGGTAACCCAGGAATATCGAGAAATCCTTTTTGTCGAACAATAAAATCTCTTGATATTTTTCCTTGACATGACATGCTATTAAGATGAGTTAATTGTTAGCAAGACGTTGAGAATTAACTTCTTTCACAGAAAAACGACAATTTTCGAATCCTAAATACTATCCTTCATTCACGAATTTGTGTTGTTGAATTCCAAACTTTCAACTGCTTAATTCAAGGATAAATATTCTTGATTAAACAATAAAATATTCGCGATTCAAAAATTTTTTCGTTCATCCATGAAATATAGCCACCCTAAAATGGAAAAAATTCTAGATTCACCTTCATGCTCCCATCATTATCATCAAATCCTTCCAAATTATTTAAAAAAAATTAAACAGACAACAATATCCATTCACTTGGTCATTCAATAATTTTATTCCGATAATTATTTATACAGTCAGTTAACGAATAAATTCCCCTCATTAAATTTTCCTCCACATGGTATTTTATAAATTAGCATTACCAACAAATGACGAAGTCAAATTGACCCTATAGTTGACAGGTCCGTCAACATTGTTGAACGGTAAATGGTTGTTGTCCAATAGTAAATTCTCTTGTCATTTTTCCTTGACATTACATGATATTCTGGTCGTTGAATTTCAAATTTTCAAGTGCTTACTTTGCGGCTCAAAAATTTCTTCATTCATCCAAAAAAAGCCCCTCTAAAATGAGGAAAATTCTAGATTCACCTCCACACCCCCATCACCATCAAACCCCTCCAAATGATTTCTAAAAAAATTAAACGGCCAACAATATCCATTCACTTGGTCATTTCATAATTTTATTCCGATAATTATTTATACAATCAGTTCTCGAACGAATTTCTCCCCTCGTTAAATTTTCCTCCACATAGTCTTTTATAAATTAGCATCACCGTCGAATTACGAAGTCAAATTGACAGCATGATTGACAGGTTCGCCGATGCTGTTGGACGGTAGCCCATTGAGCTGCTGAAGAAGGCCCTCCCTCTCCCTCAAGCAGGTCCACGCCTTCTCCTGCTCCTTCCTCGTGAGTGGTGTCTTCCTCTGCTTCGACACAATCAATTTCTTATAATGCTCCACAACCTCATTATCAGCAGCACTGATTTTCCTTTTCAATGCCTGACGTTTGCTCTCCTCCTGCGCCAGATTGAGAAGTCTCTTCAACTGTGCTACATTATGACTAGACAGTGCCATGAGGTCCTGCTGGCACCTCTTGATCTCCGCAAGAATCTCATCGTCCTCCTGATTTTTCCTATTGACATCAGGCTCGAGGATTCCCTGCTCGACCAGCTCCTTGTGCATCCTCAGCTCCAGATTCATTGAATTCTGTATGGAGAGATCCCTGAGCACCGGTGGATCCCCATCCCTGAACAATTTGTTATCACTGTTATTATTAGCAACATAAACATTCTCCTCCAGCAAAGCAGAGACCAGTCTCTGTGTGAGGGGTCCAGCCATGCCATTGACCTTCTTATCAGCCTTGGCCAGTAGCCCCGAGACATCTGACCGCCCCTTCTTCTTATCCCTGTTGGGATTGGCAGCGTCCTCCTCCTGGAGCAGATCATTGTGCGCCCAGAGGTAGCTGTAGTGTCTCCCCAACGGTGGAATCTTCTTGAAGTCCCCAGTGTCCGAGTGAGAGGCAATCAGCTCCTCCAGCAGTTTAATATCATCTGGCATAATGTCAGAGCAATAAGGGTCCACCGAGGCCCAGAATTTATTAGTCGTGTCGTTCTTAGGCAGCAGGAGCTTTGGTATATCCGTCTTGGAGCCCTCGATCCTCACGATCTCGTGGGGATTGGGGACAATTTGATTGGAAGAACTGCCAGTCGACTTTGCTTTGAATAATTTAGCTGGCAAGGGCGACTGTGTCTTGACGTTCAGGTCCTTCGTCCTCGATTTTTCGTCGCGAATTTTCTTGTCGAAGGGGGACAGACCCTTTCCACTCTTCGATCTCTTGTCCCTTCGCTCCTCAGCTGAGGAGAGACACGAGATCTCCTCCTGGAGCATTCGATTTCTCACCACCACAGACGACAACAGTGTCTCCAGTTCCAGCTGCAAAATATCCAGGTCCTCCATTCCAACACCCTCGTCCACTGGTCGCTGCAGGATACTCGTGTATCTCGGTAATAATTTACTGTTGTCACATACTTTTATCACTGGCAGGGCTGACGCCATCTCCGGAGAGTCTGCACTTGTGTCCGAACTCTGCACTGGGGTCTGCACTTTGTTAACACTGTCACGCACTTTTATCGGGGTTTTTTTGGTGTTGAGTTTACCTTTGCCTGACATTGTTTACGAGAGACTTGACTTGTGACTATTACTCAACAGTTCGGGGTGGCTTCGGAGCACTGAGGTTATGCGCTGGTTACTATGGTGATACGGCGGGGGGGTTTCCGGACGGATTTTGGGGGGAGTTTACGCAGTCGACATTCTTGAGCACTTTTCAGGGGTTTTTGATACCTGCATGGTAGTATTTTGGGGGCTTGTTCCGGAATTATTGGGGAAATTAACGCACTACTACTCCAATATGGCGGTTGCTGGGGGAAGAGTGGGGACGGACGCTTCCCGCGCATTTGTGGAGAGTTTGAGATGGTTTGAGAACCGTTTGGATGGGGTAACGATTTGTTTTTCTGTTGTGACTGCACTTTTTTCGTTTGGAGCTGCTATTGTGATGGCGTGGAGGCAGGGTTGGGTAATTTTTCACTGAAAATCCGGATTTTCTACGGTATTTAGTGGAATATTGGTAATTTATCTGATGGGAAAAAATGTTAACAGAGTCATACCTGGTGAGGGTCAAACGCCAACATTTTTTTTTATAAACTACGAACACCGAAACATACCCAAGAAAACCGCGAGGTTGGACCCTCGCGATTTTCCTGCCTGCGTCTCCTGAGTGAGCCTCATGATCATTGGACCGTTGTCATTGTCCGGTTTGCCTCTCCTGGTTGACCCCTGTGGTCGTTTGACCCTTGAAATTGACCTGTCTAGCTCTGTTGTTTGACCCTTGTGGGGTATCCTTCTAACGTTTGACACTCGCGAGGCAAATTGGCCTTCTATTTCGCTCCATTTACGATCGTTCGACTCTCCGACGTGCTACATGCCTCCTCTCGCGGTTAAAACAGTCTAAAATCTCTCCGGTAAATTAATTGTTTTTTAGATGTTTAGGTAGATTACCCATGGAATTTTACTCGCTCATATTTGCAACGATAAGTGAATTTGAGGCAGAAGTATGTGATTTTTATTATGAGAAGTGTCAAATGATCCTACATATATGCATGAAGAGTGTGTACGTTGCAAGATTTTCAGACGTGGAAAGGGGATTTTTTAGATAATAATCAGTTCTATAAATAAACGTTTTATATAAATAAATCTTTATTTTATTCATTTTACGAATTATTTACAATCATGTCTTCAATGCTATCCTCAAGCCTTCTTTAAAATTTTGTCATTTAAGATCCCTGTTCTTGTGTCCAATGAAGTGGACGTCATTCTGGTGATCGAGTGCACGGTTGTAAGCCGAAAAGAAGCGCTTGCCGTGCTCGAAGGTCGCAATCATGATAGCGCAGGCTGGGGCGACTTTGACTAAACGGGGGATTAAACCAGTGTAGAGGCCGCGAATTCCATTCTGTTGGTAGATTCGCTTCAATACGCTCGCGGTCTTGCCACTGCGTTGGGGATTGTCTGCGGGAAAATGTCAGGCATTAATTATCTTTGTGATTAAGAGCTCGATCATAAAGAATTTTTAACAATGTATTTAGATAAGGGAATCAATTGGCCGTTTGGAGAGGAATTTGGGAGTTCAATTCAGGAGCGAATGAATGGAATTGAATGGATTTTTATGAAAATTTTTACATTTTTTTAAGTATAAGAACAACTTATGCTCGTTGAATTTTCAGAATGAGAAGAACATCGCATAATTTTTTTTCAACGAGTTTTTTAAATCCATTTCTTTAATCATTTTTTTATTCAATAATCATATCTAGCTGATTCATTTTTGATGAACGTTAATGTTTTAAAAATAAATCGAAATTTTTTATACGTCACAATAATTGAATTTTTATTTTTCTCTCACTCAGCTAATTATTGAGATAGAGGATTGAATAGGCACTCATTCGGTTTCATTTGATATGTATTATCAGAACGATGTTAAATAAATGTTATGTGCCATACCAAAGTTCATTATTGAATCTCCGTTCCAGAAAAATATGTCTTAAGCAAATGATTCATGATCCCAGTATTCATTTTCGAGTTTTTTGTTTATTTGCAGGAGTAGTATGAAAGTGTTCTACAACTAGTAATTATTATACTTATTGTATTCAATAAAACTTGCGAATCGTTCTGCCATAGAGTGTTACTCCTGAATGAAATGAATATTATCGAAATGTATGTGAAATCAAAATTCGAATTTTGACGAGATTTCTTAAATTTTTTATATATTTGTAGTTATTTATTTCTTCTGTTCATAATACCTTTAGAGGAATATTCTGCCATCTATGGAAAATAAACAGAATTTCCTCAAAAACCTTTTATGTAGAGCAAAACTAAGATCGATAAGAAAAATCTTATGAGAATGTTTTTTTCTTCCTTAGATTCGCCAGAAACTCTTCCTGAATTATGCTCATTATGGAAATTTCAGGGAATCTTATCATTAAAAAATCAAATAATCCATTAATTTTCTGCTCGAATGATCTAAAAATCAACTAAATATTTGACTTTTCAGTTCAATTATTCCGTGAAAATTTGGAAAAATCATGAAAATTTAGGGAAAAATGGAAAAATCATGTCATTTGTTTCAAAATATTCATGTTCCATTGAAAATTCAATCAAGTTATGAAATTTCTGTCTAACTCCCACTGAAAACTCATGAATTTACTTCAATTCTACCTAAAATTTGAAATTTCATAAACATTTTTCCCATATTTTCCACGAAATTTCCAAAAATTTCTAGCAGTTACACGAGACAAAGATCTCATAACAGTTAATCCATCAGATTCACTACTGAATTAATTGGGATTCATTTAGGAAGAGGGTAATATGTCTATTCGTAATTACTGTTATAAATTTCACGTTCACCCATTTCAATTTGTCGATGTGTTTTAACAACGTCGAATGGCAGAGTTATCAACGCTGCAACCTGAAAACCCAACGAAATAAATTAACAATTAATTCATCATCCCCTTCCCCTTATATTATTTATTTATTTCCCAAGCGTTTGATTAACTCACAGAACCAGCTGTAGCACCTGCAGCAAGATTAAACGTGAATGTGTGCTGGGCTGAGGGAAACCATCTCTTAATCGTTTCGTAATTGAACCAGTAAATAGCACTGAAAGGTACGTCACGAAGTAGAGTGGAGCTGAGGCCCATCCACAGTCCCGATACTCCACTGTATTCAACCACAGTTCTCAAGGCCTGTCCCATTTCTGCATTTTCATATGAATATTATCATTAAATCAGCAAATGAAAGTATCAGCAATGAAGTTTGCCATTTAGGTTGTCATTTATTACCTGAATAACTGAGCTTTTGTGATTGCATTTTCGTTCTGATAAGCTCCAGGGGACTGACCAGAGTCGCAGCCCATACACGTGCTGTTGCACCAGCTATCACGGGTATCCAGGCTGGTTGATCATGAGGGGCTTCTTTCTTTTTGAATTTATTATTGTAACTGTCCTGAATTTGAAACACACGATTTTCATAGCCTTTATCATGATTGAAGTTTTTACAGAGAAAAAAAGATTTGGGTTGTTGAGGATCTGCAGCACTCGAAAATTTAACGAGTAAGAAATCAAAAAATCAATGTAATAGGTAGAATTCCCGAATTCGATAGAATTCTGAATTTAAGACATTTCGTACCTGAATTTCTAAGGATTGAATCCTTAAAATTTAGGGAAATTGGAAATTGAAAAGAGGATAAGTAAATTTAAAATGCCCGAAGAAAGAATTTTTCATCATTGATAATTTCTTATATGAATTTTAACGTTGACGAGTGTGAGAAATTAATTCACCAAATTTTCTTACTAGGGTAACCCTGTATATTCGGGACATCCAGAAACAAATTATTTATTACAAAATTTTGACACTGATGGTAACTTTCATATTAGGTATTGAATTCAGTAGCGAAGCGGCAAAGAGTGATAAGTTGTTTTTTTTCGAAAATGAGTTATTGATAGAAAACCATTCTATACATTGTATTACATATTCCCTATAAATGATTTGAGTAAAAAGGCCAATGCACCAACACAACAGCGTGTGCATTGGTTTTTGTTTGAACAACGTATTTCTCGGAGCGATATGGGAGCATTCGAGTTACTTCTGTTGTTTTGCTGATTGGAAGATTTTTATGGTCCGGGGACTCTTTTGAATAAATTTTATTGAGTTGAATTGAGCGATTTAAAAGGTTATTCAAGCATATTGAGATGGCACACGAGTTTTCGAGAGAAACGGGATAAATCCTGAATTTCATTCTCAACTATCGTCCTGGGAGTTAAGTCGACTTATTCTGACTTGTAAAATTCGTAGTATTGCAGTATCGTAGTGGATTTGCAGCACTCAAAAATTTATGTAAGGTTTTTTGAAATAGATATTTACTTTCTAGTAGCAACAATACATTCGAGAAAGTATTCGCACTCAATCGGATTGCGGATTAACGATCAATAATCTCCAAAAGGTAGGTTTCGAAAATTGATTTCCGAAAATTGCGGAACAATTCGAAAAAATTATAGATATATATACCTGCAGTTTTTTTCCGTGTTAAAATAAAAGTGTGAATGGTAATTTACCTTCAAATACAACCTCAGTTGTTCGTAAGAGACAAAATAAACTATAGTGGCAGGTACAGCAAGCACAAGAGTTGGACTCAGTCCACTCCAGAGTGAGAAAACCCCTTCGCTCCGTCCGATCTTCACGAAGGCATCCTGCAAGTGCATTAAAACAAAGCCTAGAAAACTCTTCCTCTCAAAATTGAGGAAATCATATAGAAAAGGGTGGGGCGATTTGGACACCCCATTTAAATAAAGAGTTGAACTGCATCAAATCTACTGTTACGACTTCATTTGAAGTTTATAATAACCAATACATTGTCATAAGACTGCGTCGTAGGAGTCATAAGAGAAAGCAAAAATGGGGTAAAATGGACACTTCCATTTCTTCCTCAATTTTTTATATTTCAACAATGTTATTCAATTTCTGAAACACTAGCCATGACTGCTATTTTCAAATTGAAAAAAAAAAACTCATTTTTGACTCTTGTCGTGGGGTTATTAAACCAAATTTTTCGTTGCTCATTTATCCTCCCCTCTTATCATTGTTTTATGGCGATTGCCTGTGTAAGTAGAAAAGTAGACATCTTACAAATTTCGCAAATGGACAAAAGTTCAGTTGTGTAGGGCGCGCAATAGTTCATTGAAAAAAATAAATAATTTTTTCAATAGTAAAACAGGAAATCCTTCAATGCAAAATTTAATAGAGTTGAAGATTATTTATTAATATTTTTTCCAACTCGAATTTCTCTCTTTAAAAAGGAGCCGACGCGATTCTGTTGGAAAATATCTGTTGAAAATTTTCTTGATTGAAAGTTGACAAGGACCAACTTTTTCAGGTGTAGATTTTACCCCACTCTTGAATAATTTTTCGGCTGTAAACTTTGCCAAGAAGTCATTTTTTAAAATTCGATTATTAACCATTTTTTGAGCGTCAATTTTTCGTCCATCCTCTGCGTATTTAGCCGGTGTCAATATTGAATCCCGGAAAAAATAGACCATGGAAAAAGAAACCAAGGGAAATTTTTAAGTTGGGTGGGTTTTAGCACGTTTTGGGTGTGTGGGCTAGTGTTTCCTGGTCTATTTTTTCCGCCTACCGTCAATATTGCCCAGTGAAACAATTTTCAAAAATTTGAATGTTGAAAAAAATGTTTTTTTCGCGAATTTTTTGAGGACCCTTTTTACTCAGATGTCCACGTGGCCCCACCCTCCCCTAATCCATTCAGTTACCAAAGTGCCATTGAATTTTCCATTCTCCCTCATCCAGTTCGGCAGTTTTCCGTTGCATGAACACAAATGATCCATCAACCCATTGCAGTACAAGAAACACTTGTTCGAGAGCATGGCCTTCTGCTGAGCCTGCAATCTCGTCTTGACAACGTCCAGAGGTGTAACTGCACGAAAACAGAGGGTAAATTTCCACGAGGGGCTCGAGAGTTGCATCATAAACTTTCCGCATGCAGTGACTCCCAAAAATCGAGTTAAATAAATAAATTACCCATGAGAGAAGTTATCAATGCCCCAGTGCAGGACGCAATCATCTGCTGGTAGGGCCTGATGCGATACCTCGGATCGTCGAGATCAATATCACTGAAATTTTTGTTTAAACTCGACATTTTCTAGGTTAGACACCAACACGAATGCTTCTCTCGATTGCACTGGCGATAACACGTTATTTCACTCGCTTTCTGGACAGAAATTATTCGCATAGGGACAGAATGTGTACTTCTTCATTGTGAGATCAATTGTCATGTTGGAAAATGTACTTCACCTTCGGCTACAATTTTTTAGTCGTTAGGAACCGATAATAACACACTCATGCCCGTGCTGCGCACGTGACTGACTGAACCGTGCGGTGTGGAGTTGAATGCGGCAGAATGGGGGAGACAATTTTTTGTGGTGTCTGATGTTTCATTCATGCTCAGGGCGATTGTGTTGTCCCAATTTATTATTGTTTTTTAATTGAATTTAAAAATGCTCTTGTTTATGAGATCTGGGTCTTCGCTAAGTTCATTCCATTTAGAAAAAGAACTGATAGGGTAAACAGGTCAATTTCTGGACGGGGGTTAGTTTCTAGACGATTTCTACTTCCATTGAATATTCCATAATAGTAGGGGAGGGTGGGGTAAAACGAACACTTTAGACTTTTTTAAAATTATTCATAACTCAGAAACAAATTGATCAATTGAGCTTAGTTTAGGCTCGTCACAAAGGGGAAGAATTTTTCTTTGTACTGAAAAAAAAATTATTGAATTTTATCAACATTTCAACCCCTCATTAACATTTTAGAAAAAGTCAAAAGTGTCCGTTTTACCCCAACCTCCCCTATATTTCGTTACGAGCACGGAAATAGTATATTTCAGCACGTGTGGGGCAATATCGTCTTTAACGTGTGTGGGGTTTACAGCATGAGCCGAAGGCGAGTGATGTAACCACACACGTTAAGGACGAAATTTCCCAACAAGTACTGAACAAAATTTTATGTCACGAAGCCTGAAACCGACGCTTCGCGTCTCGTGTCTAATTCAGCCGGTTTCAGGCATGAGTGGCATAAAATAACTTTTTAGGCACGCTTCGCCTAAAACGTCCCTTTTCCACACATTGTGATGAAAAATATCGTTCGATACTCGTGGGAAAAGGGCTTTTTGGCTCGTGAGAGGTTTATAGCACGAGCCGGAGGCGAGTTAATAATACTACTCGGGGATAATCATACGATGAATGATGATGATATGATAAGTTATTTTTTCTATTCATCGACATTTAATAAATAAAAAAAGATGCGGCCCAGTCGTTCAGAAATTATTTATTTAGGGGAGAGTGGGGTAAAATGGACACTTTTGGACGTTTTAAAAAATATTCATAACTCAGAAACAGATTTATCAATTGAGTTCAGTCTAAGCTCATCACAAAGAGGAATCATTGTTCTTTCAATTGAAAAATAAAATTATTCCATTTCATGAACAGTTCAATACGTCATGAATATTTTTTAAAAAGTCAAAAGTGTCCATTTTACCCTGCCCTCCCTTATACGACTTTTTCCACTCGTTAATATCTAAAAATTCAAAAATGGTCAATACGACCTTTTTCCATATAGCACACGTTTATGCCACTGCATATTGTTCATTCTGGAATAGTTAATTGTACTATAATTGAAGTGAAATTAAACAAAAATGAAACCATTCGACACTCCGAAAATTGGGAAGAGATTCATCTCTTCAATTCAAATAGCATCCTGCTTTATCGACGGAGTTCTCTCGCGTCCGACGTCCAGTCGGAAGAAAACATGGCGATGTCCGCGGTGCTCCGAAGTGTCTTCGCAAAAAACTTGTCCGATTTAGTCCTCCTGCACTCACCTGCAGTGTGTCAAGTGCAGCTGACTCGAGGGACTAAGTCCTGGAGGCTCATTGAAAAACCAAAACCAGGAATCAATGGCAAGGCATACCGTAGATTCGTCCACTTCAAGGATGAGTACACCGTGGAGCCTTTGCAAGTTACCAATCTCGCGGGGAGGGACCCCATCACTGGTAAATCCACTGTTTATTTACTTTCACAATCCTCAATTTCACACAAGGAGACATTTTATGAGTTGAGCAATAAATTAATATATGCATTGACGATTCCTTCTCTGGGGTTCCCTAGATTCCTTGTCTTGGGTTAATGAGGGGTTGAAATGTTGACAAAGTTTAATAATTTTTCTTTCAATACGAAGAACAATTCTTTCCCTTTGTGACGAGTCCAAACTGAGCTCAATTGATCAATTTGTTTCTGAGTTATGAATAATTTAAAATAAGTAAAGTGTCCGTTTTACCCCACCCTCCCCTATGCCTGTTTGGCCAGGCCAAAATGAGAGCTCTTTTGTAGCTCTGATTTTGTTTCACAAAAAAGGTTCTCCGAGAAAATCTTCTCTCTCCCTTCAATTTCGAGATATTCATTGAAAACCACCCCGAAACGAAATCAGTGGCTTGTTGCTTAAAATAAATAGTAGCTTGTGCACCAAGGGAGAAAAACAGGACATTCCAACCCGCGTGTATTGATGTCCTGTTTTCCTTCCTAGGTGCACATACTATTTTTCTCTCCGTGTAGACCAAACTTTTCCACATCGAATGAAGAAAAAATACTCAAACAGGTAGAGTCGTGGCCAAGGGGATTGGAGGAGGTATAAAGCACAAATTCCACTGGATCCAGTGGAAGCGAGACGGTCCAACAGACGTAGAGGTCCCCCCAAAAGAAGAAAAAGTTCTCGCGATCCTCGAGGAGGGCTGCAGGACAGCGCACATAGCTCTAGTGGGTCATGGCTCTGAGATAAAATACTACCTGGCCTCCGAGAACATGAAGCCAGGCCAGATAATCAGGACATCCCGAGCAATTCCTCGGATGCCAGTGCGAGCTTTCGAGGGCGATGCCTATCCCCTCGGAGCCCTCCCAGTGGGGACCGTAGTCTACAACATCGAGAAGTTCCCTGGGAAGGGGGGGACCTTGATCAATGCTGCAGGGACATCAGGCACCATCATCCGGAAGGATGGAGTTGATCGTGTCGTTGTTCAGATGCCCAGCAAGAGGCTCTTCAGTCTCCACTACACGTGTCTAGCTTGCGTTGGACGCGTATCCAATGTTCTCCATGGAGACACACCCATTGGCAGTGCCCAGAGGAACAGAGAGCTGGGGAATCGACCCAGGAGTGGTCTCTGGCAGAGGAAGACTGGCCGTTTTGGAAGGAAAATCAAACCACCTCGTCCCATCAAGTACTACAATCCTGATGGCGAGGAAATCCATGTCGAAGAAATGACGCTCACTCATTCTGCATTCAATACTAATCTTGACTGCATCAGGAAGCCCTCGGTGCCGATTAAGATTAAGAAACAGGAGCTCAGGCCCTGGTAATTTAAGAGGAGTGTAAGAATGTTGAGATTGAATTGTTTTATGGTAATTTCAGTAAAGTACTTTCGATTGATATTTTTGGGGTTTTTATTTCGTGATTGAAGTTCAAGTATTCGAGCAGAAGTTATGATCTATTACTCAATGGGAGATTAAATTATTCACGAAATTTATGATTTATAGTGAGATTTCAATGACGAAGTAGATTTTCAGTTTATTAGATTTTCCATTGAGTGAAATTTTGTATTCTTGCATAGTTCTAGTAGTTCATCTTGATGATTTGCACTTAGAGACATCGTCAAGATGGGAAAGTTGCCACTTGCATGACGAAATTGTGTCTATCAGAAGGAGAATTGATATTTTGCAGAATTTCAAGAGTTTTTACAATTAGAAATATGCAAGTATCTTAATCACGTCAGCCCAATCACATTTTGCAAATCTATCAATGAATAAGGGAAATTTAAACTTCTAGAAACCTTTTTTGTCTTCAACGAAATCGATTTCTGATAAAATTCTAACTATGGACATTTACTAGGATTTCAAGTTATTAAGGGAAAACGGTTGTAATCTTTAAAATCGAAATTTGTTGAATTAAATTTGTTTAATTGAAATTTTCCTCAGTAACTGGACTTTCTATTTATTTTTAGATACTTGAAAGCTTTCTTATTGGTTCAAAACAGAAAATCAAACCTAAACCTTCATAGTTTAAAAGATAAAATCACTCAGTACACAAGTCAACTCAAGCTTGAGTGGAAGTTCTAATCTTCAATCCACAAATGTGAAGGGATTTCAACTAAAAAAATTGCCTTATTACTTGGAGCTGTTCCATGTTAGATTTCATAGAGTTCAGGTAATTTTGCCGTTCTCAAAAGGGCTTCACAGATCAACCACTCCCTCAAAAATGTAAATAAACTAAATTTAAAAAAACACCAAGAAAGTATCGAAGAACTCCTTTATTAGGCCATTTGCAATTCTACGAATTAATAGGCAGAGGATGTAAATGAAAAACCATCTGCATTTTGACGCCAATGTTCCAAGAATTAAATACTCTCCTCATAAGGGTGATTTAACTGCTATGCTGATTTGACATTATTTTTTATCAGAGAGTATTTAACTCTCGAAACGTTGGCCTCAAACTGCACACGGTTTTTCATTTACATCCTCTGCCTATTAATTAGTAGAATTGCCAACGGTGACCGCATAATGGCCTAATGAAGGAGTTTTTCAATGAATTCATGTGAGCAGTAGAAATTTTATGGCCCGGGTGGATTATCTTTCGCACGTGATCTTGATTGTTTTTTTATTTTGATAATCTGAAATGATCTCCAATTGCTATTCAGTTTTACATGGCCCTGGAGTCTCCGAAAATTATGATTGTCCATTGTCCAATCAATAAAACGTTGAAAAAAAGCTGAACATTTTCATAGAGGGTTTTTGAATAATATTGCGAAATAAACCCAATAGGGAGGAAATTGCAAATGAATAATTTGATGTATATAATGGCTGTTAGATCGTCATTTGTCACAGCAGTCAATGGCTATCAGACCGTTAGTTACCGTGATAAATTATCCATTCACTATCTCCTCTCTATCGGACTTATTTTTAAAATTTTTATTTAAAAAACGCTCTTTGAAAATGTTCAGTTGTTTTTTACTTTTTTAATTTATGAAGATGGAAAAACAATTGAGGTAGCGTTCGAAAGATAATCCACCCGGGTCTTAAAATGATTATTAAGAAAGTATCTAATCTATTGAATCTAAAATTTTCTGCGAATTGTCGTTTGGCCATACGAAAAAAATCCTGGAAATCTTGAAGAATGCTTCCTTCGTAAAAAGGAATGTGATAATAATTTATTCATCATTCCCACAATTTCCATGAAATTCACCAATGGATTGTTGGGGTTTTCATCTCCCCGGCTGATTACCTCCAAGATGAACAGTTATACACCCTGAATAAAACGAGGATAGAGGTTTAACTGAATAACACAATTAATCTCCATTTATACCACTGATATTTTTATTCATTTAGTATTATTGTCTGCGTTTCTACCCAAGCCGTGTGGGTGTCTTGTAGCGTTGCCATGCGGGTCAACCGCATAAGTACATACATCATTACACCCTTACAACCAATCACTCCTTGTTGGAGCGAAAATAGAGCTCCAAAGAGATTCACCATCGAGATTAAACCGTAGTCACTCAAATCTAGAAATATCCGCTTTTACTCAACAACATTCACAAATCTGATGATTCATTTAAATGCTTGGTAATCTTGTTTATGCATCCGCACCACAAAATTGTTGAAAATAATTGGAATTAATGTGGGCGGACTCGTGATTCAACAATGAGGCAGTGCCCGTTTGAGTACATCTAAATGCATTTTCTTTGAGAATAAAATCTCTTCATAGGCCTTTGTTGTAAATGAGGGTTTTGGCATTCGGATCACGAGACAGAATTTGCTCTTTCACCTCGGGCTCTAGACGGTCTATGGATATGGGCACTTGTTGGGCGAATAAAGCACAACATAGAGGGGTCGCGAATGTCAGGCAGATACCACAGACTGCCAGCTGAATTGGCATTGCTGCCCACTTTGCATTTGCCAGGAGATTTCGACGTTCCAGGGATGTCATCAATATTGGAGATAAAACTGGAAAGAAGAAAATAATAGTTGTTAATTCATTGCAGATATAATCCATTAGAGAGAGAATAGTTTTTTGTAAGTAGTTTCAGGATAAAGTTACTGATCTTAAGAAATTTGGTTCTAAGAGGCATTATCCTGAAGATGGGAGCAATTTATCTTTGATTTTTATAAATGCAAACAATGAATTTCAAAATTTCTTACAAATTCAAATGATTTCAAAGTCATGTTGAACTACGACGGGATAATGGGAGAAATACATGATAATTTTATCAGTCTATGAATATATTTAGAGTATGATAACACAGCAGTTGATGGAATCTTCTCAACGGTTTTAGAGGCAGAAGTCGTTACGTGAAATCCCTAATACTCTCATTGTTATCTATATTTTTCTTAGAAAATGAGAAAGGTCGATTAAGGCAAGAGTAGCATGTTTTTAGTATGAAAATTTTTTTTTTTTAAATCAAAATACGGAATATTGCTTCGAGACTCTAAAATAATCTTCTCTCTATTTTTATTTGGAAACAAAGTAAGATGAATGATACAACAAGGAATTTTCTTCCAATCCCAATAAATCAGCTTTCCCTAGTAAATTGATCAAATGTAGATTTTTGTTGTTTTTGAAAACTGTCCTCATATCTTCTTCTGAAATTACGAATTTAGAAGGTAGTTTTATTATTATTTTTATTATTATTATTATTAATTTCTGCATTTGAGATACATAGCCCCATCGCAGGGGGGATTTTAGAGGTAGTTTAATAACGGATAAAAGTTATCTTTGATTTGTATAAATTTATTCGTCTTCACACGTGATTAGCAGTTTCATTTTTATGAATGACTTTGAAGTGACGTCAAACTATGACGCAATAATTGAAGAGATCCATAATAATCTCATCAGTTCATAAAGATATTGAGAGTATGAAAATACGTAGTTGATGAAATCTCATCTGTTTTGGAGGCAGAGTTGTGCCTCGAGGCTCTAAAATAATCTCATCTCTATTTTTATTTGGCGAAAACAAAATAAGATGAATTGTGTAAAAACAAACTTCTTTCCAATCCCAACAAATGAGCTTTAAATTTAACTGTTTTCGTAAACTTGCAAATTTAACTGTTTTCGCCAACAGAAATCTAGGTATATTCTCATGTCCTTTTCTAAAATTACGCATTTTCAAGCTAATTTGATAACCGATAAACGTTATCTTTGATTTCCTTGAATTTATTAATCTTTTATTGATGTAAAATTGACATCACATCAAACTATCTTATCAATTCATGAACATATTCAGAGTTCGAAAAAATTAAATCGAAAAAATTCTCTAGAAATTCTCTTGGGATTCTATTAAAATTCGAGGGAATTATTGTTAAAATTCTATCTATTTTTGCACTGATTCTATAAGATATTTGATAGGAAAAAGTCAATAGATTTCGATTTTTCCATATGAATATCCTCTTGGCATTTTTTCTATAAGAATACTTAGGCCTGAATTTTCCAAGTTTTTTCACTCGGATCCTGCAATGCAAAACGAAACAAAATAGAGCGGAAAAAACTTGGAAAATCCGTGCCCAATAATTTTAATAGAATCCCCATAGAATTTGTGGAGCGTTCCAATAGAATTTTCTTGCGAATTCGCTAAAGTTTTCTATTGAATACTTTCATATGCAATAATAGACATTTTATGCGTAATAGAGACATAATTCGTTTCCATCAAGATTGAAAGCTGTTAAATTCTTACATATATGTTAATACAGTAATTGAAGGAATGAACTCCATTGGAGACATGATTCCATCAAGATTGAAAGCACGAAAAGTAATTTGATTATACCAAAAAAATCTATAGATTTCGATTTTTCTATATGAATATTCTCTTGGCATTTTTTCTATAAGAATACTTAGGCATGAATTTTCCAAGTTTTTTCACTCGGATCCTGCAATGCAAAACGAAACAAAATATAGCGGAAAAAACTTGGAAAATCCGTGCGCAATAATTTTAATAGAATCCCCATAGAATTTATAGAGCATTCCAATAGAATTTTCTAGCGAATTCGCTAAAGTTTTTTGTTGAATTCTTTCATATGTAATAATACAGTAGTTGAAGGAATGAACTCCATTGGAGACATGATTCGTTTCCATCAAGATTGAAAGCATGAAAAGTAATTTGATTATACTACTTACTCATACTGGGAGAGGCCATTAGAATTCTGGAGACAGTAACAGAGGCTATTGCCTCTCTGGCCGCCTTGGGACTGTTGCCAACCTTCTCTCCCTTCTCATTATAAAGATCAATTCCATCCTTCAATTCTGTAATTCTCATTAATGGAATGTTAACACAATTGGCAGCTGCCACAGCGGCAAGGGGCACCAGACGACCGGCTAACGGTGGTCCCCGGGCAGCAAGGCGATTCAACGTTAAGGCTGTTGTTACAGCACCCGTGACTGCCCCGATGTAGCTCTTCACGAGGGTCTCCGTTGGAATTGGACTCGAGCCACTGCGATTTGTATAATTGACGATTGCATTGAATGACTGGTTACACCATTGCCAAAATACCACAGCCGGTGTTGACCTAAAGTTGAGAATTACCTTTTAACGTCGAATGTTATTTTTAGATTTCCGGGATGAATTGAAGTATTTTATTGCGCTTTGGGAGTTTATTGAATCCTGTAACAATCGCATTTCTGTTATTAATTTCGAAAAGGTTGGGGAAGATGAACTATAGAATCTCCAACTTTTTTGGTCTACAAAAAAAATAGAAATCAACACGCACGAAACCTTTGATAGAAAAACCTAGCGAATTCGCTAGAAAATTTTGTTAGATTTCTGTTGGACTTTCTATTAGTTTTTGGCTGATTCTATTGAAATGTTCAATAGAAAATATTAAATAGAAAAAGTCAATAAAATTCGATTTTTCTATATGACTTATTCTCTTGAGATATTTTCTATACAATTTGCTCAGCTCAAATTTTCTAAGTTTTTTTCACTCTATTTTTTTTCTCGTCAAGAAAATTGAACAAAAAAAACGTAGAAAATTTGAGCCGAAGAAATTCTATAGAAAATATCTCAACAGAATAAGTTACATAGAAAAATCGAATTTTCTAACGAACAACTCCTTACCGCCATCTGATCTCTATTTTTACCTTGAGAAAAAATGAGAGATGAATCAGAGGAATATTAACTCTCCTTAAGTTATAAATAAATTGTTTTTCTGCTAAAAATGAACGTGTTTTTGAAACGTAATAATTAAAAGTTGACTCAAAGTTGCATTGAGAAGAACAGAGATTTTTGAGAAGTACATCTTTAGTTGTATCAAGAAATTCACGGCTCGAAAATTCGAATATCGCACATTAAGAAAAACAAATTTACGCCAAAAAATTTTATACTTGTCCGCAACATAAGGGCAATTGGTCCATATCAAGAAAACGAGTTCTTAAATAATTCAAGTGGATTTGCATTAAAATATTTCCGAATTAAGGCGAAAAAACTATTAAATGAATCAATTAAATTTTACTTGGTATGAGAAATCGCTTTTTTGTCATCAAGAGATTGGCCTCGTCTTTAAGACAAGTACAAAATTTCTTGACGAAAGTTTTTTCATCTTAGTACAAGATATTTTGCTCTTGAAAATTTTCAAGTCACGAGTCTCTTGATATGAGTAAAGACGTACTTCTCAAAAAACTTTGTTTTTCTCAGTGTGAGAATGACGTCGTAACGTTGTGTTTTATTTTTAGATTTTCGGGATGAATTGAAATGTTTTAGTGTGTTTAAGAAGTTCATTCAATCCAGTAATATCCGCATTTCTATTATTACTTTGGAAAAAATGGGAGAGATAAACGGTAGGAATTCCATTTTTTTGTTCAACAAAAAAAAATCAAAGAAGGTTTCATTCAATAATCTGATCTCTATTTTTACTTTGAGAGATGAATCACAAGAGCACTAACTCTCTTCCGCTATAAACAAATCGTTTTCCTCTAGACAATTAGGCTGTTTCGACAAACAATTTCGAAATGGGACAACTAAAAGTTGACTTAAAGTTGAGGAATACCTTATGATGATGTATTTTATTTTCAGATTTGAGAGATGAATTATAACATTATATTGTATTTTAGAAGTCTATTCCACCCTGTAATCATTGCATTTCTATTTTAACCCTCGATCATTCGCTCAATGAGCGCGGCGCCGCCCGTTTTCGGTTTTTTATATTTTAATGTGTGTCTCGACGCTTACAAATTCTGGAAAAATTAGAGTTCCTAGTCCAATCCTTTTATTAAGCGTTGACGTTGTCCGTTTTTTTCTCGGGAAGTTTATTTAGCTAAAAAAATTAAAGAATCGTCGAACGGATACAAGAGCGACGCCGCGTCACCCGGTGCGAGTGAGTCCCCGCTGACTCCTCGAGCGGCAGTGTTGCTACATTCACTGCTACACTTAAAATGCGAGTACAGCGATAAGCGCCAAAGTGGCAACAGCGCGCTTGGTTTAACCCAGCGGGGTTTAAATCTCACCGAATTTGCAAGGAAATCCTATTGGCATTCTCCGAAAATTCTATGGGGATTCTATTAAAATTATTTGTTTTGTTTTGCACTACAGGATCCGAGTGAAAAAAGCGTAGAAAATTCATGCCCAAGTAGTCTTGAAGAAAAAATTCCAAGAGAATATTCATATAGAGAAATCGAAATCTATTGACTTTTTTCTATCGAACAACTCGCAGAACCATAGAATTCCCTAAAATTTTAATAGAATCCCGATAGAATTTCTAGAGAATTCCAACAACATTTTCTACCGAATTCGCCAAGTTTTTCTATTGCATCTTTTCATAGGTGTATTTTCCCAAAAAAATAAAATAAATGAATGACATAATAATAATTTTTTTTCACTCCCGAAAGAATGACTATCCTGTCGCAAATGAAACTGTTTTCGCCGGGAAATATAGCATACGTCGCGGACGAATTCAAAGTGGAGCAACGAAAATTTCATATATTTCAAGACCACAACCGCGGCCCGGGGTCACGAATTGCGGTCACACTTTATCTCCACAAGAGTTCATTAATTCTTTTAAAGAGTATTTAAGTACATCGTGAGGGGCATTAAACCATCCATCCATCAAACCAAAGAAATACATACTTGTAAAACGTCATCATAGCCCCGGTGATAATCATGTTCATGGGCACCTGGGCGCTCATCCGCCCGATGATGAGCATTTTCTCGCCAGTGTCCGGATGATACGCACTATCGTAGAGGTACTTATTCCTCCACAACTCATCCTCGGTGATTTTCAAGCGCTCCAGGGACTCGCCCTTCCTGCGAACAAATTCGACAAGTTCTGTAATTTCTCACACTAGAAAAATTCCATTTTATTCTACCGCCACCGTTACTCAATCCCGCGGTAGAATTTTGTAATATCGAGGTCGTTCACATTGCTGTATCGATCGATCGCCTGAACTTTCAATCTGATTTAATTGTATTTTAATCAGCGCAAATAAATTCTCGAGGCCATTGAAAGTGGCTCTACCCTTGCGGATCGAGTTAATGAGTGTTTTGAGAAAAAAGAAATTCAAAAATTAGGTATTGGTTTTATGTGTTAATTATTGAAATTAATTATAGAGGCCATGAACTTAAGACTTATCTCGTTCTTTCAATTTTTAAGTGAAAGTATGGATCAACAGATTTTGAATTAAGGTACTTCCTCAATAAGTTATACTTGGTGAAAATTTTTCAATGAACTGAAGACCTAAAATTTGGATCCTATACTGTTGAAAATATTTAAAAACGACTCCCAAAATTTCAAGTATTTTGTTTCCAGGCGAATTTTTGAGATATCCATCGTCAAACATCCAATTTTGGTCCTTTTTAAGTTTTTGTCGATGCATATCTCAAATATTCGCGTGGAAAAAATACTTTAAATTTTGGGAATCGTTATCACATGTGCTGAACAACATATGATCCAAATTTTAGGTCTTCAGTTCATTGCGAAATTTTCCCCAAGTATAACTCACTGAGGAAGTACCTTAAGGATATCCAAGTATCTTTTACAGTTCGGTACAGACCGCACTATAGATTCAATTATTTTCAATCATCAAATTTATCAATCAAATTGCGTGAGAAAAATTTGAAAAAAATCATGAATATTCAGTGTCATTCAAATTTCATTTTGCACAGAATTATTATTTTTTAAACATTCGTTGTTTATAAATAAATAATTAAAATTGTTTAAACCTTTGGAAACCTTTTTGTAGGCATGAAGTCGATTTATAGTAAAATTCTGAATATGAATAAATTTGTTACGATTCCGAACAAATGATTTTTATGGTAGAAAATTGATTGTTTATCAATTATTTATAGAAAAGGCTCGTAATTTTCAAAAATTGCAACTTTTTAATTATTTCATCAATCTTCCTCCAAAAAAAAAGTTTCTAAAATTTCTTTAGATTTTTATAATGATTTCTAACAGTTCAATGTCAAGATTCAAATTCAGACCTGCAAAGTGTAAATAAGAAAATCTTTGTAAAATGTCCGGAAACTTAGGGTCAAATGGGGCTCAAATGAAAGCTGTGAGGCTCGACTACAAAAGTAGAAAAGCATTTCACTGGAGAAAAAATAGCCAAAGTACTTGGATATCCTTAAGTAGTTTGAAAATACTTCTGGCAACAGTGTACGGTCATGGGAGAGGTGGGAGGTGAGTACACTGAGCACCGATTTAAAGAAAGAATTGAAAGATAAATGGTCATACACTGTTAGAATTTTTTTGAAATTTTTCGGACAATGTGGTAGTAATTCTCATAAGAGTGACGTCGAAATCGATTTAGGAGAAAAATGGCTATGAAATTTCAAGTTTTAGGTAGAATTCGAAGAAGTTCATGAGTTTTCAGTGACAGTGAGGCGCAAATTTCACAACTTGATTGAATTTTCAATGGAACATGAATATTCAAAAACAAAATAACATGAATTTTCAATTTTTCGCAGAATTTTCCTGATTTTTCTAAATTTTTACGGAAAAATGGAACTGAAAAATCGAACATTTTATTGATTTTCAGGTCATTCGAACAGAAAAATAATGGAATATTTGATTTCTCAATGACAAAATTTCGTGGAATTTCAGTGGAAATTAAACAATAAAAATTTCTGGGATTTGACACGGAAAATTCAAACGAAAACAATTATTGTAAACAAAAATTCGGATCTTAATGTTTTGTTTGAAAGGAGATGGACGGATGCTGTTAATAATAAAGAAAGAACTAAACGATAAATCGTCATTAATCAAAAAACCTAATTTTAATGCTCTATTTGAATGGAGATATACAAGATTTGATGTTTCATATCATCGTCGTAGAGCCAAAAGGGCGTAAGGGCTGTGTATAAGCACAGGTTTTACGTCTCTTTGGCTCTACGGTGGTGACATAATACCCTGGGTTGTATCACGACTTTTAAACCTTTTTATTTATAAAAACAAAAACGATAACTGAATGGTGAAAAAAATTACTATAATATACTCAAGGCGAAGGGATGATGGCATGGAATGTCCAATTGATTTCAATCAAGTTCATTCCTCGATATTGAATGAGAGTGGAGATATAAATTTTTTACGGCGACTGATTTCTAGACTGAGAATTTTTTTTTTGAGAAGTACGTACTTTACTTGTTTCAAGAACCTCGTGGCTCAAAAACTGATCAGAACAGAATATTTCAAATTGAGAAAAGAACCCTTTCATCAAGAGATTTTGTACTTGTCCGAAACATAAGGGGCATTTTGTTCACACCAAGGAAACTACTTCTCGAACAAAGTCAAGTGGTTTTTGCATTAGAATATTTTGTAGTTGGAACATAAAAATTATTGAATAAATTGATTCAACTGGACTTAATTTGAGAAATCTCTTTCTTGTCATAAGCAAATTATCTTCGTCTTTGAGACAAGTACAAAATCTCTTGACGAAAGTTTTTCTTTTTCAGTGTAAGATATTTTCTTCTTATCAATTTTCGAGCCATGAGTTTCTTGATACAAGTGAAGGGGTACTTATCAAAAAACTTTTTTCTTATCAGTGTAGAGGCACATTACGATTAGAAACCGTATGGTTCTGACGCCGCGTTGAAATTCATTGCGGGTTTTCTCACCCGCGCATGATAGTAGAAGAACAATGTTTCTACAGATTATTGTGCATTAAATGCCCAATCGATTGTCATCATTTCGATTTCTCCAGCCGAAGTGAGAAAGATATGAATTTTCAAACAGAGGGTAATTGGCGATGGACTTTTACTTTTTTGATTAACAACTCCTTAAAGATGTTCGACACCCTTTTAGCCAAAATTGACGTTGTTTTCATGTTTCTGGCAAATTATCGATGGGAGTGACGTGAAAAAATATAACGATTTCATAACGATTTTTCACGAAGTTGCGTAGTGGTGCGATAATTTTCATGCATTTTTTCTACAGTTTTGTGATTCTTTTTAAAAGTTTAGAGAAAACGCAGGAAAATGTTCGCACCACCTTAAAATTTCGTCAGTCATTAAATAATGACAAAACGCAAAAACATTATATTTTTTCACGTCAATTCCATCATAAGTTTGCCAGAAAAATTGAAAAAAACGTGAATTTTGGCAGAAAGGGTGTAGAACATCCTTAAGAAAGCGACGGAAACAAAAATTTAAGGTATATCCCTAGAAAACACGTTTTTCTTAAGATTGTCCGCATGTTTCTCACAGATAATGTTTATAATAGTCCCCAGCTATTAAAACAAAATCTAACTGGCTGTCCTACACAGTTTAGAAGGTAACAAATAATGAAATGCGGGCTTCTAACACGCGAGGCACATGCCAAATGTGGGTTATGGCTCCTCCCGGACTCGTTTTTTTCCATCTTACGAGAAAACGGTTCTTACGATGTTTTTAAAAAACTAATCCATGATAGATTGATAAATTCCGAATGCGGTGATTTTTTTCTAAAATTTTACACCACATAGTTTCTCCGATATTCAACTCTAAAAAATGGAAATTTCGTGAAATCATTTCTTATTTGATTCAAACAATTAATTAACAAATAATTTCCTATTTGATTTAAATAGTAATGGTTGCCTGCATCAACAACAAGGGTCTCGAGGATTGGAAAACTCACTGACTTATGAGAGTGCAATAAATTAAGCCATTTATCATTTTTTCCGGAAATTCATAGGGACTAACTTTTGGGTGCTATTGTTTTGGAATTTACCTTGATTAGAGTTTTCGTCTCCAAATCACCCCCCCCCCCC